GCCACTACACGGCATTCTACCAAAGTACCTCTTTACAATACTGCAAATCTCCTAAAACGTTCAGAATTTAAAAAAGTATAAAACTAATTCAAATTAAGTAAGTAATGGTTTTTCATTACAAATTTTAAAAACTTCTTGCTTTACCGAAATTCTTGTGGAAATCCTTTAAACTTTTTGTAATGTTATTCTCAAAATACGCATAAACAATAATTTTAAGGCTTTTCCACGACTTCTTATATTAGGTAACTGACGCCATAACTTTTATTTTTTATTTTAATTTTTTACAACGTACGTTTGTTACTTTGTATCGATGTTTTGGGATGGAGTGACTAAAGTAACGTTCATTACAATGGTAAAATCTATTTACACAGTTTCTGTATTTACAAAGGCAGCGACTGGCAATTGTATTTCATTAGTAGGTCACCTATGTGTTATATATGCATACACATTGTCAGATATCCTATGTACATTTTTTTTTCTATTCTGTTTTATCAGATCTTAATAATAATTATTATTATTATTGTTCAATTTAACTATTTTGGACCTTATAGTGGCGGTGTAAGAATATCCTCTACAGCATAATATCATCTCGTGGGGGTCGTAAGAGGCAACGGGGGTATAAGTCCTTCTGTGGGGAGAACTAGTGAGAAAAAACGACAAGAAAGTCACAAATAGACTATTCAGACTGTCCAATAATCAAAAATAATTAATAACTATAAAAACAAATCACGTCAGAAATATGTTAATATTTTTTCGCATTTGTTTTCTTAAAATTATAAGCCAGTGGTGAACTCTATTCCACTTAATATTTTGAATATTTTGTAATTGTAGAATAAAAAAGCAATTAAAAAAAATTATAAAAGCATTAAATTAAATAAATGTTAATGTATTTTGGAACTTTTAGCATTTGGGTTACGTGGTATTGTCGTGAGAGACTGGTTATGGTAATTAATCGCTCTCACGGAATCTCAACTTAGCAGCTTAAATTAACTTCATTTCATTTAATGGATGACGAGAATTGGAGACTAAATTATAGAAATTACGTCATTACTATTTTCGTAGGTGGATATTGATCTTCACAAGCTTATAATAATCAATGGAAAAAATTATGTTCATATGAGGCTCATTTTACTTACGGTACCTACCTTAATTCATTTTTCATTTTAGTGTGAATGCCCAATGTGGTGGACTTCATCATCACCACAGCCTATTAAAAGTCGAACACAGCTTAACATAGACCTCCACCGTAGGTTGCCTCGTAGGGGGATATTTGCTATAGTTGCCACACAGTTTCAGTTGCCGCAGTTTTGTTATTTAGTATTATTATCAGAAAGATGCTGCTGCCCAGCATCATTGCGATGCTATGGGGTAGTGTAGTAGGGCTATAATCGCGAGTAGAGTATGCATCAATGATACTTTAGTGTTTTATGATAATATTGTAGCGGTTTTATGTTCTTTTTGTCAAAAATAACAATGCGTCTACATTAGGGTGGAGTGAGTATGAAGATTTATTTTTTGTCCAATTTGTAACAACATAGTGGTAAAAAGTTATGAATGAGATAATGAAACAGATAGAGATATTAACACACATTTATATTTATATTTAACAATAATAATAATAATAATATTTATAACCCCCAATAATCTATTGGAATAATATTTTTTATGTTTGTCGCTTTCTAGCAACTGAAACATATTATATACATATATATTTAGCAATAACCGGCCAAATTTGCAGAGAAGGTTCGGAATAAGTAATACAGGCAAATGGTAAAGAAAAATTACTTTCCTCATTCATTCTTTCTACATGGCCAAACCACCGAAGCATTCCTTTCTTAATCCTGGTCACAACATCATCTTGCAAACCACACTCTTCTCTTATTAAACAATTTCTCACTCTGTCATTCAGATTCATCCCTAACATACTCCTTAATGACCGCATTTCTACAGCATTTATTCTACTCTCGTGCTTCTTCTGCCACACCCAATTTTCACTACCATACATTAAAGTAGGTACTAACACAGCATTGTGAATTTCCATACGTGCCTTTTTGGTCGTTTTTTGCCAAACTTGTCGTCGTTTTTAAATTAAAAAAGATCTCAAACTTTCTGCCTTTTTATCATAGTATAATCACGCGCACGCACACATTCGTAAGGGTCAATCGGTAGGCAAATTCTTATAAATCACATTAAATTTGCGGTAATTTCAAATAGAAGTAGAAACCTCATTTACTCGTATTTTTAAAAACTGTAATAACGCTACATCCTTATTTATATATTTGAACTTAAGTTAAAAATTTAGCTACTCTTTGAAAAAATAACCCTGTATATATATGTATATATTTGAGACTGAAAGGTTGAAGTTTGAAAATTGCCCATTACTAATGGTTGGATGTGTTCAGAAACAACAGAAGAACAATTTCAAAGATTTATTTTTATAAAAAGTTTTGCATTAACAAACATTGACATGGTTCGAACTTTTTTTACCACGTTTTTATAGTCACTTTCTTGTTTGTCTGTTTGTCGTTCCGGGTGGAATTTAGTAATTAATTTTAAACTAACTTCCCGATGAACTGGAAACTTGAAATTTGGAATATAGCTCGAATTCGGATGAAAATGAAAGATTATGATAAAAGAACGTGGTATATTTAAAAAAAATACAAATTTATTACAAAAAAATTTAGTTATTTGAAAACATTGTTCTATCCGGGGGCACTTCTAAGTATAACCTAGATAAAATATATTCGCATTTCCTTATTGAACTTATCACACAGCTTTTGCGGGTACCTATGCTATACTTAGTAAATATTTATTTCACTCCACCCTAGTCTACATCTCTACGTATTTTTACACATTCTTTTTTTATTTGACAAACGTTTACATTTACGCCGATTACTTAAAATTGTTTTTAAATCCAAAAAAAATTTCAGGTGACACTAAATAAAATCTAAAATGAGACTTGTGACACTGATTGGTTTGGGACTACTTGTCGCGTGGACGATATCGATGCCTCATTGCGAAGGAGCCAGCATGCTCCGCATTCGTCCATCTGATGACGATGTGGAATTTTTCCTACCTCGTCGCATCTGCCATGAATACATCCTGATCCGGAATCGAGCTGTTCGGGCCTACGACTCTTTTGGCGACTACGGACACCTGCGTTATGGCCGCTCTGAAGACTGACACATACGTACCAAAAATAGTGTTACACAATACGACTGTATAAATATAAATAATGGGCGATTTTGAAATAAAAATCTAACAAAATGTCGAAATGAAAAATATCGATGGCTGGTTAGATATTACAAAACAGTATTGTTGTATTAAAGTAACTTTTTAAAGATTACGCATACAATGTTATTTATTTACGTACTTTTCAAGATTTCTTTTATTAATAATATTCTTTAATTACCATTATTCATGCATTAAGTTTTTTTACAAGTAATGTTTTAACCTAATTATTTTATACATACAGATAAATAAAATTGAAGCGTTTGTTTGTCATGTCAAATAACAGATTTTTACTAAATGCTTATGAAAGGTGAAAAAGTATATTATACGTTACTTAGGTACTTATAACAAAATACAATTTTTAAAATTTTTGTCTATCTGTCTGTTTGTTTGTTCCAGCTAATTTCCGAAATGATTCGACTGATTTTAACGGGATTTTCACTGGCAGGTAGCTGATATTATAAGGACTAACTTAGGCTACTTTAATTTTATAAAAGGGATGTAAAAAAAATTAAAACCGATGATATTCCTCGCAGACGAAGTCGTGGGGAACAGCTAGTAAAACGTTCGAAGGATATTTTAAGGGTTTCCGTGTGTTTCTTTTCAGTCGTTTAAGACCATATGAATTGTGAAGCTTTACTAATTGACAAATTGTTCTGAAGGTGGGTAAATAAAATGTTGAGTATATTTGTGAATTTATTTATTATAACCAATAAATACATTTTACAACAGATATTTATTACAATATAATGTGTTAAATTACCTTAATCATTAACTGCATATTATCACTATAATATTGTTTTACTTATAACTTAAATCACTGTTAAGGCATACTATTTGTGGCTTTTAACCATCGTAGCATTATATCAAAAGCATACTCTGGTTTCATTTTTAATTAATAATGGCTACACATCTACCTACACTCTTCTAATCGTTGTTTAAATTTCTGGTGTTCATACATTTTGTAGTTAACTTACTGAAATAAATAATGTAACAAGATCTTTTCCCTGGCAATCCAGATCAATCTTGTGAAATATTACATATCTTGTACTCGTCTTTTTATTCGTTGTACTCATTCGACATTCCTAGTATTATTCTTAACGCGACATGTGAGAATGTAATTTTAATACATTTTAAGTCTATAAATAAGTAATTGACGATCAAATTTTATATGTAACGTCGAAATTTATTACCAATTATTGACCTGATAATTACAATGTTTAATAACTAATATTAGGCACACGCGTTATTACCCTAAATTATATAATATTGAGACTAGTTAGTTTTTTTTCTATGCTATATTAATTATTACTTTTAAATTTAAAACAATATAAAATTTTATATTTGAAATTGGTTAATTGGACTTGGTAAGTATGAACTTGAAATAAATTAAAAAAATATTTAATTCCGTAAAAACCAACTTCAATGACCACATGACCTGGAACGTTAACATGGAATGAGGGCTAATAATCTTACGCTCACCAGATGTCGCTAATTGGGCCTAAGGTGAACTTATTGCTTACACAGATGGTCATTCAATGCCAGCATTATTAAAATTCGCCCTCATTAAAATAAATATCCAATTAAAAGTAATTGAGATACGAGAGCATTTCTTTAAAATGTCTTCAGCAGCAGCAAGTACTGTTTATATGTTACGAACAAAAATAATGCTTAGGTATTATCACTATAGGCACTGCTAACAATGTATGAGTATTCTCGACCGCTTGCGATGCAATATTCCATTTCTTTGATAAATATAGTAGCAGACCTTAGATAATGTCCCGCTTTTGTGTGTTTCCCAGTAGAGCCTGTAATATTAAAAATATTTTTAACTCTACGGAAAAATAAATATAAATAATTATTAATGACTATTAAAAATAAATATAGTAAAGGTAAATATGTGTATTATATCTTGTACTCGTCTTTTTATTCGTTGTACTCATTCGACATACCTAGTATTATTCTTAATGCGACATGTGAGAATAGAATTTTAAAGCAAATACGAGTAAATATACCAGCTAGCCCGACTTGCTAGTAGATAGCGCGATGAGTTTTATTCTGGATTCGCCCTGGACTTTTTACAGTGTAAATATATAAAAAATATTATTATTAACGTCATTTATAACGTCACACCAATTAACCTACGAAACCTACGTGTAAAGGCCGCTATCATATAAGAAGCCTAGCAAACAATATATCTTATGTTGTCATTCACTTTCAAAATATCCAATTTAAGCAATTTGCTTAAATTAGATTATCGAAATTTTTAAAATATCATAATGATAACAAGTTAACGTGCCAACGATCGTCAACGTCAAAATAAAGGTGGGTACGAAGCGGCTTCGGATCTCAATCAACTAATATTTATAAAACTAAAAATATATAGTCACCTTGTTAACAAAATTAACGATGGCGGTCGCTGGTTGTTCTGGTTCCAGTTCGGCGAATACGTGGCATTGATTGTCTGTTCCAGCTGCTGTACGGGCCACGAAAGCAAAGATGCGTCTGTTCAGACAAAACAATATAGTTTATAATACAAATGTCATTTAAAATAAAACTATGGGATAAAGTATCATATATACAATGTAAGGTACACTAATGTAAGAGACACGCACTCACACAAACTCTTAATAATTAATTGTTAAATAATTGTGTGATCTCTATTGGTCTTACTGTAATATATTAATTGTAAAGACGACAAAAACACTGTATAATACTTAAATTAAAAAAAGAAAATAAATAAATTGGTTTGGAAATATTGCACTTTATAAATTCGCCGCGTGGAAACGGTCGGTATGTGGTAGCGGCATATTAAGACAATTTTATACGTGGTAGAGCCACGCTACAGCTATTTGTTTTGTAGTACAAATAGATTGACTCGACCAGGGAAAGACCACGCTCTTACAGAATACGTAAAATGGCAGCTTAATGCTGCTGGGTTTCGTTGGTAATTGTAGAGCACCTTTTCACTGGAAACGCATTTCATCTTAGTCCTCAGAGGTGACAACGCATTGCATTTTGATTCCTTATCGAGGATAGATGTAAATGTCTATGTGGTACAGATCCACTTACCAACAGGTGGACCGTGTGAACGTTGGTCATCGTTATTCTATTTTAAAAAATTCGTCATCACACTTTCATCCTTAGTTGCTGCGTCTATGGGAATGTTAGAATGGCTATTTTTTTTGGTTTGGTAAAGTATATTATGTAAGATGTTAGATACCCAAACTAGTAATGAGGAGCAGCGTCAAATGTGTAGGACCTTTGATATAGCAATCGCCAGTCTACCTGCGGAGTGTGACGATTATCAAAGCGGAAACCTATAGGTCGGTTACGGGCTGGTGAAAAAGAAAAGCAGCTTGTATATGTGTCACTGCATGCCATAGGCTTATTTTCTGATAAAGATGATGAGGTAGACAATCTGCAAAGTTTTCTGGACTGGACTATTATATCTTGTGAGGTGTGTTAACTGTTGTGCTTATATATATCTACATAATGTAACATGATTTATGCATAGAAACACTCATAACTATAATACAAAGATTAATATTTATTATTGTGTAGGTCTCGAACTGATTGAGTTTATTGGTTATTAAAATACTCGTACAATGTTACCAAATCGTCTGTGAAGTTGACAAAAGTAGAGCTATACAGTTGAAACAGGACAAACATCTCTTGGCCGCGATACAGTCTTCGCGAAATGGACTATACTGCTGTTAATATTTCGATGACAACGCCCTCACTTGGTTGTATAGTTAAGTTGGCAGGACCATTAAAAATCATTGTGGTAAAATTAAAATACTGACTTTTCAGTTTGCGTTCCGTTCTGAAGGTAAGTGTAGCGACGCTCGTCGGGGTCGAGGCCGGCGTAGGAGAGCGCGGCGGCGGGGTAGTGGCGGCGGAAGAACAGCTGGCGCGCCGCGTCCGTCAGCGTGATGCCGCCGCCGAACACCTTGAAGTGCACGACGTGCGCGCCGCCCTGCCACAACAAACGACCACTTACATTGGACACCTAACGATCTCCACCGGCGCCACTACAAGCGTGACCGCGACACTAGATGTTGTAAATGCTCAATCCATTTCGTGTCGAGTCAGACTAGTTCACTCTATATTAATTTGAAAATAATGTATAACATATTCTAATCAAATTTTCCGTGAACCTTTCACAGAATATCAGCGTAAAATAGCAGCTTAATGCTGCTGTGTTTCGTATGGTGAGTTTAGAGAACCGGAGATCCTTTTTACTGGAAATGAGGCATTCCATCTTATTCCTCACGGATGACAACGCGTTTGCATTTTGATTCGTAATCGAGGATAGATGTAGATGTCTATGGGCCGCAGCAACCACTTACCATCAGGTGGACTGTGTGCTCGTTTGTCACACTTGTCCTATAAAAAAAAACATCACATGTTTACATCGTTTTGGACTCTTACAACTATAAAATATATAATGATTTTGAATAAAAGTACATATACATTGCTTAATTGAAAATTAGATTGGATCGTATAGTAGATACAAGTGTGTTCTGTCTGTTGCAGACACAAAGAGTATATAAATCATGAAATACACTAATGGTGAATCATCCTTTCAATTGAAAAAAAAAAATGTTATACATACCTTCTTCTGTAGTACGTGATGTACTGCTCGTTTCACGGCAGCTGGGCCGGTCAACGCTTCAGTGTTTTCCGAGCCAAGCAGCAGCACGTGGCAAGCTGCGCCGGTCGCGAGCAAGGCGCGCGCCGCTGCATTGACGTTTCCACCCGTCCATGGATCCCTGTACAAAGCTAACATTAATATCTGGACGACCGAGCTCTGCTTGGCGTTAGAAAAAAATTATAACATCCTCGGGGATGACATATATATAGACAAACTTGGAAAGTAAACATCACCTAAATACAAATCGTTACAGACGATTCCGTGAAATAAATCACATACACACGTACACACATACGCGCACTCACGCACGCACGCATCCACGCAAGCACAAACGCACGCATGATCGCAAACATGCACACACGCACGCACGCACGCATGCACGCATGCCTCCGTCTACTAAGACACCTAAGCTGTGTATTAACCGTTGTGGAATAAAAATTTAACACATTTTAATGATTTATATTGGGGAACATTGATGATATTTCAAATAATTATAAATTTATTATATTATGATATTGATAATAATCTTACTTTTCGAATAAGATCTTCTTTTAAAAACAAGAACGAAAAAATTCAGATAGTTATATCAAATCTTATTACGTTTTCGAAGTTTTAAACATATCTACTATTTTTGCATATCACCGACGTTATACAGGGTTATTTTGCAATAACCGGCCAAATTTGCAGAGAAGGAAAATGGTGATTAAAATTAATTAAAAAAAAAATCAAACATTCTGTGAATTTTATCTTTTAAATTCAAAATGCGTGGTAATGCATTAGGTATTTTAACTGTTTGTCATTCATAAATAACTGACGCATACTATTTTACGCACGCACACATTCGTAAGGGTCGCTCGGTAAGGTCGACCAGGCCAACGGCTGACAGTGTTGACCGTGATTTCATTACGTACACTTCATTACCAATGACATAACTAAAATATTCGTACTGCAGATACTATGAAACTATGAAATGGTGCGATATTATATTTTAAGCAATGAAAGTTTACGTAGTGTGCAAAGATACTAAGGTGAGTCATCCGACGCCGTCAGGCCGCTTGTTTGCGCTCCAATCCGCTACTTTGAATTTGATTGGAATAAACGGTTATTTAATATGTGTGTGTTCGTTATTTACATCCCCACAAGAGAAACGTTAGTTGTAAATAGTTTATTCCATTTTTTTTAAATACGCCATAATAATGACAGTCATCGGTTACGTCGTTGATAAGCAAAAATATATTTTAAAATTTTATTTATTATGACAATCCTAAGCCCGTTAAAAGTGTAAAAGGAAAATTGGAATAATAATTCGCGTCATCTAGTTATTATTTTAAGCATTAGTTAGTAGTAAGCGTGTCACTAAATAAACAGTAGGCAAAAACTGAATTAAATCACACGCAGGAGCGCGCGTAAGAGTAGTTGTTGCCCATAAATCACATTCAATTTGGAATAATTTCAAATAAAAGTAGAAGCCTTATTACGTGGTAGAGCCATGCTGCAGCTATATTACTGGTATGGTTGTAGCACGAATGGGTCGGCTCGACCTGGGAAGGACCACGCTCTCACAGAATACCGGCGTAAAATAGCAGCTTAATGCTGCTGTGTTTCGTATGGTGAGTGTAGAGAACCGGAGACTCTTTTTACTGGAAAAGAGGCATTCCATCTTAGTCCTCACGGGTGACAACGCATCTGCATTTTGATTCGTAATCGAGGATAGATGCAGATGTCTATGGGCCACAGCTACCACTTACCATCAGGTGGACTGTGTGCTCGTTTGTCACCCTTATCCTATAAAAAAAACCTTATTTACTCGTATTTTCATAATATGTAATATCGGTATATTATATTTACTACTCTACTCTTTGAATAATAACCCTAAGTATATATTAATGGCAACTAATAATAAGTGTAGTAAATTTCTTCTTCATCGCCATCATCCCGTAAAAGTTCATTAGTGGACATAGGCCTGTCCCTATTTAAAGAGGATTTACCATAATCATGTAATATAATGTCCCATGCGCTAACACAAGCCCGGCACGTGAGTAATGTGGGCGACTAAGCCTAAATCTACGTTTTCGTTTAGTCAGCAGTTTAGTTTCCCAAATTTGAATGTATTGTTTGAAAGATTTACCTATAATCACCATTGGTCAGGCGGGTTGGTGAACGCCTCATGTTACCCTCGTACTGTAATGCAGTTCCCCATCACTAGTCTTTAGTTTTATGTTCGGCATTTTTGAATAAATATTTCACTATAAGTCGTTTGGTTATGAGGATGCTATTTCAAGAAGTTGTTAACATAATAATTTTGCTATAAAATTGATTGAGAAAAGGAATAAATATTGTCTGTTTGTTAGTAAGCAGGGTGATCACGATGTGGTGGCAGCACAAGAAAATCTAACACCGCATATTATGTCGCGTGACTGTATAAGGATTATGCTAGAAAGATACTGTGGCTTCTGATAGATAGCGGTATAATCATCTCATTTACGACAAACATAAAATGTTCAGGCTGATTACGAGATACAGCGTCAAAAGTACGAGTCGTATGGTACTGTGATCGTCAACCTGTCTGGCAAGCGTGGCAATTAAGGCAAATACTTCCTACAACGGAAAATACCCATATTCAGGAGTGCACTTTTGCGCGCTAGTTAATTAGAAGAAGAGCACGTGCACGTGAAATTGTCGTTTTATAGTGTCTTTTAGAGGGATGTAGTAAAAATTCATCTAAGAAGTTCCACAACGAAAGAAGACGCGCCCTGGTTACGAGGCGGTAAGGATGCATGACCCCTCAATGTTTTTCTTAAGATTAACTGCTGTCGGGGGTAAACTGTGTACTGCGTATCTGGTAGTGCATCACTGCCGACTCAACATTAACGTTTATAGTGTTATTGTCTGGAGTAGCAGTGAAGTGTGACCTGTCGGGCAGTCGCAGAGGCACGGGCAGGGCGAGCGGCGTGACCGTGTGCTGGTAGACGAGCGCGGAGAGCGAGCTGAAGACGGGCTCGTCGGCGCAGCCGCGCAGGCGCACGCCGCGCGCCGCCGGCTCCACCAGGAAGTGCCGCACGCCGCCGCCCGCGCCCGCGCGCACCGCCAGCCCGAACGCGCCAGGGAACGAGTTCGAGTCGCGCACGATGAACGCGCCCTCCTCCAGTGGCTGCAACGCGGCTATGGCTGTCGGCAAAGAAAATTAATTAATATTATTAAAAGCAGAGAACAGCGAAACGTTTCCAGGCCGATTTTTCCTGGATAATCTCTTTATTAATTATTATTTATCTTATCGAGTAGTGGCGGTGTAAAAATATCCAGTACCCCATAACAGCCCGTGGGAATCTTAAAGGAGGACAGAGGAAAACGGAGACAGGAGATGGGCAGTGGCATCTGTCTGATAACAAAACTACAGTAAAAAACTGCGGTTGCCAAGCGTGGCAAGTATGGTAAATAATAAAACCTCCCATGAGCACCGACACAAAGAATTGGCCTCCAGTCCCCGGCAGGCCAGCTATTTCTTGTTACTGCAACGGTGGGGCAGGAGGTAAGAATCTCCGGTGAAGGTTCGGTTGCCACCTTAAACGATTCGATCTGGCAACATTTAAAACACGCACCCTAATATATAATATATATGTATATATATATATATATATATATATACAACGTGTCCCAAAATTCAACGATAAGCCAACACCGGAGGATAGACCTGCCCCGGACTAATCGGGTAAAAAAAGAAAAAAAAATATATCCCAATTATATTTTAAGTTATATAAAAAAAATGAAATTCTTCAGAAATTGAGACCGTTTATGATATTTTTCACTACCATGACCACAATTTTTTAAATATTTTTTTCTTTTTTTTTTATAGGCAACCTGAATAGTACTGCTATCTACCACAATTCTTAAAAACTCCAGATTAACTCTTGTTTTATCACGAAAATTAATGAAAATTATTTTATTCCCTAAATTTTTTGAAGACTTTTACTTTTAACCAAATTTAACTTATCGTGGTGTAAAAAAAAAGTATGAACACTAGTATGGCAAGTTTTTTTAAAAATTGACGCAACTAACCAATATTCCAAAATGGTATAATACTCTAGGAAAACAAGTTATAAAAAAATATGGGCCTATTATTTCTTAACAGGGGCCAAATTCCTTAAATTATTTACTTATTTTATTAATGTGCATCAAGCGTTTTCGGAGGGTCGTATGCCATCCAATAGGAGCAGCGCTGGAAGACCTAGATTGGATCGTGATGAAGAAGTTCTCAAGGAGATAGAAAATGACTCGACTACTTCGGTACGTGCCATAGAAGAAGCTACAGGAATCCCGAAAAGTTCTGCACATCGAATATTAAAACGTCACAAGCTTCACCCATATCACTACAGGCGTGTGCAGACGTTATTACCGCGGGACTATCCGCTACGGGTCACATTTTGCCGTGTAATGCTGCAAAGGCACAGTGAAGATCCCCACTTCCTAGACAAAATTCTATGGTCGGATGAAACAACGTGCAAGAAAGATGGGTATTTAAATCTTCACAATCTACATAGTTGGAGTAATGAAAATCCACACTTGATGAGACAAGACAAACCCCAATATCAATTCAAGGTTAACCTATAAAAGTAAAGGAAAAGTAATTGGGCCCTTTGAGTTACAAGGAAACTTAGATGGCAATAGTTATTTAAACTTTTTACAAAATGACTTGCAAGAATTGTTAAACGACGTGCCCTTAAGTGATCTTCAAAACATGTGGTTCCAAAATGATGGTTGCCCAGCACATTATGCCCGTCCTGTGCGAGAATATTTAAATCAAGAGTATCCAGGGCGTTGGATCGGGCGACTTGGTCCTATCTTATGGCCACCCCGTTCACCCGATTTGAACCCCCTGGACTTCTTCTATTGGGGTTGTCTTAAAAACAGGGTCTACTCAAAGCCATTGTGACATTGGACGAGCTTCGTCGAAATATCACTCAGGCTGCTGATTACATTAATAGCAGAAGATATGCAAGACAAATAAAACGATCATTTTTAAGGCGATGTCGTGCATGTATTAATGCTGGTGGCAAACAGTTCGAACATTTGCTATAATGTTAATAACTTAATAAATTACACGTGAAACTGTTTGTACCATTTGTTTTGAAATATTAAACATTTTTCAAGAAATAATACTTTTATTACACCCGACCGTCATTTGGCCCCTGTTAAGAAATAATAGGCCCATATTTTTTTATAACTTGTTTTCCTAGAGTATTATACCATTTTGGAATATTGGTTAGTTGCGTCAATTTTTAAAAAAACTTGCCATACTAGTGTTCATACTTTTTTTTTACACCACGATAAGTTAAATTTGGTTAAAAGTAAAAGTCTTCAAAAAATTTAGGGAATAAAATAAGTTTCATTAATTTTCGTGATAAAACAAGAGTTATTCTGGAGTTTTTAAGAATTGTGGTAGATAGCAGTACTATTCAGGTTGCCTATAAAAAAAAAAGAAAAAAATATTTAAAAAATTGTGGTCATGGTAGTGAAAAATATCATAAACGGTCTCAATTTCTGAAGAATTTCATTTTTTTTATATAACTTAAAATATAATTGGGATATATTTTTTTTTCTTTTTTTACCCGATTAGTCCGGGGCAGGTCTATCCTCCGGTGTTGGCTTATCGTTGAATTTTGGGACACGTTGTATATATAAACCCTAAGGTCTGACGAGAAGATCTTGCAGCCAAAAGAAGATGGACAAATTGTGCCGGCATATTATAGGATTATCTGAGATCCGAAGAGATAAGGACAAGGTAATTCATTCTTATTCACAACTTGTTCTATCACCGGGAGGGTGACCATCGGTCCAAAGGAGGTGTCGGATTTATCGTCCACATTGTATCGAGGTGTAAGAAATGTATGAGGATATCTCTAGACCCAGTAGAACTTAGCACAAAAGAAAACGATGAGTTGAACGTAACGATAAATTTAAGGTAACGAAATAGTAGGGCAACGGAACTCAAGAGGTCAAAATTGGCCAACTTCATGGAGAAGGAGGAACTCTTTACGATGTACTCTTTCTTCCAAAAGCGACCACACAGAAGTGGACCTGATAGGACGGTTTGACAAAAAATGAGATTCATTGTTAAGACCAGATGTCTAAGTACTAATTAGTCATGTCTCAGTGATCGCGAGGATAAAAACTGTTAGCGATCACCGAATAGTAAAGAGGCACATTGAACCTTAATGTTAAGTTGGAGAGGTCACGTCTAATCAAGTTTACGTTCCGTCCCCCTCGTGCTTTTTGAAAACATTTATCTCAAATTACAAAGCTAATTGCAGTACCATAAAATTGCAATACAGCTTGACATTCATATTTCTTTCCACGAAACTCCATGCGGTCGGGGCTAAGTTCTGCAAGACCCGTCGCCGAAAAACCCATAAACATTCCGATCACACTCTTAATCTCATGGTGGTAAGACGAAAAATGAAGCTCCAATCTTCAGCAGATATGGCAGCATAAAAGCAGCTGAAGAGATAGATCTCCAAATGCATGCGGCAAGACTTAAGAAACTTCAATACAGCTTGTATCAAAAAAGAAATTGAGCGGAACCAAGGCTTTAAAATCTTTGTCAGAGATCTCTCTGGCAGAAAAAGCCAACTGTCGAAATTGATGACAGAATGTGGTAGCATCGTTTCTCAGAACCTAAGATTATAAGTTAGATTGAGAATTCCTACGGAAACCTGTACACGTCATTGTTGCAGTTGCAGCTACACTCAAATGCGAGTAGCGATCTAGAGCAAGTCTCATCCGACACTATTCCGATGATATCGCAGACGTCGGTTGAGCGAGATTAGAATGAATTTCGAGCACCTTAAAAATTACAAGAATGGAGTTACAGCGACGCTTCTGCGAGTCATTGCAAAACCAGTACTTAAAGTCTTACAGAAGCTCTTCAATTTCCTCTTCCATAGTGGCACTACTCAGGAGGCGTAGAACAGAAATATATATCTATCAAAGATGTGAATCTATTAAAGAACTACAAACCCATCTGAGCTGCATCTACGTGCTATTTTCGAGAATCATACTCGCGTGCAGACTCGACAACTTCCAGCTTCCAGACTGTTATTTTAGTTTATTGTATAATGAAAGAGCGGCACTCACCATCGTCACGAGAAATGTTGGGCTTGTACCAGAAATGACTGGTGTCGCGCGCGAAGCGCACGCGGTCGGGCGCCACGTGCTGCGGCTCGGCGCCGCCTGCGCTCGAGCACCGTGACCCGCCGCCACTGCTCCCACCGTTATATGTGCGGTATTCCGACTCCGGGCTGCTTTCGCGCTCCTTTCTATATACGACACATAGTAAAACACCTTTGTGAGTGGTTTTATTTGGGGATTTAACCATACCAGTACCTTGCCTTTATTGATAATATTCGCCCAATATTTTATATCAAAATGTGTGCTATACAGGGCTATTTTTCAAAGAGTAGCCAAATTTTAAACTTAAGTTCAAATATATAAATAATGATAGACCGTTATTGCAGATTTTGAAAATACGAGTAAATAAGGCTTCTACTTTTATTTGAAATTATCCCAAATTGAATATGATTTATGGGCAACAACGTTTTGCCTACCGATCGACCCATATGAATGTGTGCGTGCGCAGTAAAATCAGTTAAAATAATGCATTACCACGCGTTTTCTGCCGACTTCCAAAAAGTAGACGGTACACAATTCGACTGTATGTTTTTTTTATGTGTGTTACCTCATAACTTTTTATTGGGTAAACCGATTTGGATGATTCTTTTTTTTTATTTGAAAGCTGATACTTCTCGTGCCGTCCCATGTGAATTTGATCAAGGTCAGACCAATAGTTTTTGGCTTATTCTTAATAACTCGTATTGAAGTCGGCTGTACAAAGTTTTAAATTTTTAATTATGAATTTAAAAGATAAAAAGTACATAACCTTTGAGATTTTTTTTAATTAATTTTTCTTCACTATTTCCCTATATTACTTACTCTGAACCTTCTCTGCAAATTTGGCCGGTTATTGCAAAATAACCCTGTATATTTTTGTGAATTTATAAAAAGATGACACAAATTATGTAATACATTTTACGAGTTACATGCAGTATAATAAAAGGTGGAGCTCAGTTTTTTGATAAAATCCGAATCCCAAATTCAAATGTTAACAATTTACCTACAAATATAACAATAACAATTATTAATAGCTCAGACTAACAAAGAAAGGTGAATGGGCGTTGCGTATATTTGAAGTGATGCCTAAACGCTATGCTCAACTTTTTCACTCGCATTCACCCGCACATTCGTAATGATCATCGTACATTACGTAAACTTACTACCAATTCTTTTTCAATTTTCGGTTCGGCGTCAACTAATCGACCGTGTACCATCAAACTATTGGACAATTCGTCTTTCGTCAGTGTACGAACCAGGGCCGACGAGTGGGCAAGGACACTCAAAGCGGCCATCAGGAAGAAGTGCGTGTTTGAAGAGTAGGTGACAAGTACAAGATAGGAAAACGCATCGTACACTACTTTTGTTTAAAATTGGAAGAATAAACTGTACTTGACAGAAACAGAAACAGAAACTTTTTTATTCAATATAGATTATAAATAATACTTATTGAAAGTCACTCTTTTGTTTGATTACCACTGGTTCTGAAAAAACCTCTGTCCTGGGAAGAACCAGCAAGAAACCCACAATATAAAACTCACATTTCGATGGCTTATTTAAGTTAGAGTTGATTATGACTCATTAATATATCGACGGCTATTTATTCTCAGACGTAAAACGTTAAAATATTAAAAGAATATGTAATTTATAGGTACCATAACATAGTAAACTTTGCTGTAAATTTGGAAATACACTGTTTTATTCGGCTCTTGGAAGCAAAAGTAGGAAAAGCCATATAATATATTTTTATTGTAATTTTGTTAGGTTTGCACTGCAGTGCCGACTGAAAAAGTCAGAAATTGGAAATAAATGTACACATTAAAAATGTCTCATACAAATATGTTAATACGAATGTGGTAAAATAAGTCGTTAGTAAAAATATTATGCGTATACATTGAACATTGCACACCACAAGCAAGTATATATAATATAATATTAGTATTATTTTATTTTTATTATTTAACCAATGAAAATTATATTCAAATATACTTTTGTAAGTTTCATAAAACAATACATACATTAAACATAACTTTTCTAACAGAGTTAATTACGATGTTTATTGTATTTGACATATTATTCACTAACAAATCATATAAGGACACACAATACAATTTTTAAAAACTTACATGTGTAATATTGCCTTATTTGACTGCGAAACGTGATTCCTGATTTAAAATTGAAAAAAAAAAACTTAAAAGGCTTTGAGTATTGAATACTGCATAAGTATATAATGCGAACAAATTTTTAGGGAAAATAATTAAATTTGTTTCTACGCAACAATGAACAATTGAAAAGTTCTTAACCAAAGGGCGGATCAGACTCCTTACATATTGTTCATAGAAACATCAAGTGTAATTTTATTTGATATTGCTTTTATTACATGCAATATTATAGTACAATATATAACAGTAGTATATAGAATAAAATGATTAATATATACCGATAAAAGATAGCTGCTGTTTTAAAAATCTATATATTTTAATTATTTTAAAATAGTATATTATGTGTTTATTTAAAGTTTGTTATTTAAATCACAATATTTTATGCTGTATTACACACTGCAGATCACAAACTTCATTACTTCAGTGCAATGATACCGAACACATAAATCAATAAATAACGCACTTCGCGCACTCTTCGCGGTTCTAATTTGACAGTCCATTAATAATCATCAAAGCAATCGTAACGCTCAAATCTTTTAACACGTTTTATATTAGAACATTTTACATACAACCAGCCATTACAGCCAATAAAAGTCCACTGCTGAACATAGGCCTCCTCTATAGATTGCCTCAAGGAGGATTTTGCAAAGTTTTACCGCTGCCCATTCTGGTTTGTTTCACTCTGTCGCCTTTTACGACGTCCGTATGATGATATGGGGTTGTGGATATTCTTACACCGCTATCCGCTTTAACATTTAATAAGCTTTTTATGAATTCAATAAATAAATAACAATTCACTATACGACATTTATCGAGTAAAAAATTAAGCACTATTATAATAAAATAACAAATACTTCATCACTACACACCCTTACATCAGACTCGAAGGGCCAAAATGTAAAAGGTGTGTGTTAGATTTTTTAATGGCAATGCTTTATTTTAATCTTTTTTTTTGCATTTAAGATATATTTAAAACTCATATCAAGCCTTCCATGAAGCATTAGAGGGTGTGTATTATTAAAGCTTTGTTAAAACTGATGTTATTCATGCAATTTAATTTAAAATTCTCATTTCGACTGTATTTATATGTAGGTATATTATGCGGTATTTTTCCCAAAATTTGAACTGAGATAGTGACTCTTTTTTATTCATTAAGCTAAAGGTACTTCAAGGGTAACCCAAAAAAAATTCACCCAAAGTGTGACAACAAGAGGGAATGAAACTTCTAATGTAACCGTTTAGACAACATTCATTCGAGATGTTGTTACCTTGAGCTTGTGATATTGCTAGTCGACTCATGAGGGTCACCATAAGTAAACATAAAAAAAATAAAAACTCATTTATTGTCTTTATAAATCTATTACGACCTATTAAATGTTCACTGCTGAACATAGGCCTTCCTCATAGATGACTTCGTAGTGGGGATATTTGCCATAGTTGCTACGCTTGGCACGCGCATGCTTTTATTAATTGAAGCCGAAAAGAAGCTTCAGAAGCTGTTAAATTTCTACATAACTGTTAAATTTAAATTGTATAATTTCTACATAACAGGTTCTGAAGTTAGTGCTAAGAGGTAGTCGAAGAATGAAAGCCTCGACTTCTGAAGCTATTACATTATGTGGATATTTTTAATGTCTGTTTTTACTTTATTTCTTAAACTATAGTGCATTTACATGATATAAGAAATTTCTATGTTAATAATTAATTAAAGAAATTATTTATATTAAAATATGTTAATTTTGTTGATCTTATGAATTTATTAAAATCAATATTATAATACCATATAATATATAATAACAATCAATAGAAAAAATATGAAAGTATGTGCGTCTGGGCATTGTATATATAAAATGTATAAAATTATTAGATTGTTGTAGAACGAAAGCCTTTTAAATATGTACCATTTTCTTAGTCAGTACCGTTTCGTTATTAATTTTTTTAATAATATATATATTTAAATTTATAAATCCTATTGATTAGTATTTTATTTATAATGTCAGTGTGATAAACAAGATGTCACATATATTGGTTTTGCCCTCACGACCAAATTTGAAAGAACTCATTTGAAATTCAATCATTGTGATTTTTCAACATTTCCACACATTTTAACACGCTTTTATTATCTTCGCGTGTATCTTTATATTATGTAACGGAATCTTTTAATGTAATTTTCACCAACTTGTGGACAGCTGATTCTGATGACTTCAAAATTTGCATCAAGGACCGATGACAATACAATAATTTAATAACTTTATCCTAGTATCCTGATTAGGATCACCGGGATAATTCTCACTAGAATAATCACAGCTTATGATCAATGCGTGTTTTATATTTTCTTAAATTTTAATATTATTTAATTAAGTTTGAATTAAAAGGTGTAAATAGTGGTATACCTAGTGACGGGCGGCGAGCGCGGCGGGCGCGCATTGAGCGAGGGCGTGGGTGTGGGCGGGTAGGGCGTGCGCGGGTGCGTGGGGAACGCCGGCGTGCCCGCGCGCGACTCCGTGCGCGACTCCGCACGCGACTCCGCACGCGACTCCGCGCGCGACCAACTTTCCGAACGTTCCCTACTCTGAAACGTTAAAAAACGCTACACTTAGTATATGATAACCGACACAAATGTTTTATTTTAAATAAAATAAGCGTGACAAACGAGCAGACAGTCCACCTGATGGTAAGAGGATGCTGTGACCAATAAACAGATGCGTTGTCACCCCCGAGGACTAAGATGGAATGCCTCGTTTCAAGTAAAAAGGGCCTTCGGTTCTTTACACTCATCATACGAAACACAGCAGCATTACGCTGGTATTATGTGAGAGCGTGGTCCGGCCCCGGTCGAGCCGACCCATTCGTGATACAGGCATAATGTAGCTGCAGTGTGGCTCTACCACGTATATTTTTTCGCTAAAAAAGGCAAAAATATGTAGCATCAAAGAAGACATTAATTAGATGCTTTAAATATGTACACGCGTTAGAACATCATACGTTTCGAATGAGCAAGAAAGTAATGTCGATAAAGTTTTAGTTCAGTAAAACAAATATTTATTTCCTTATAAATACTGTTAAATTAAATTTATGTTTCACTTGTAACAATGATTAGGGGAAACTACAGATGGTAATTTTTGAAAGAAATAAAAAAGTCTCACGGTTGGTTAAAAGTGGAATTAATAAAAATTTTAATCACAAAAATTTTAAAAATAATTTCCTATGCAACTTACTAATGTATCATTACTGATAGGCTCCGCAAGAGACAGCAACCCAGGCGCAGGAGTGCTTGTTGGTGTGGTGTTTGTACTCCATTCGCGCATCGTCATCTTTTCATACATGAATTTTTTAGATGAGGTTCTGTAATGAATATAGAACATTGACATATAAGTTTTAACATAATCGTACATGTCAAGGTGATTTTAATACGGATAAATAAACGGATCTTCTTCATCATCAGATTCAACAGATAAAACACTACTGGGAACCCTACAGGGCGAATTAACCATAATCGTCATGGCGATTGGCTAATTATAATAAATGTTACCCATGGAAATGTGCAAACTTTAAAGTAGTCCAGTTCTGAAACTGAATTGAAAATATATTACTAAATACGTGAAAATAATAAATTGAATACTACGCAGTAACTGCACATTAAAAACACTGAGTCTCGCCCACTTTGCTTAATCGTCTATACTTTCCTGTAGGAGATGTTATTCGACCAGATGGAATCAAGAAAAATTGAAGAAATGGAATACACACGGAAAATCATGGTACACTCAGAACACTGACAACTATTTAGTGTATGTACAATACTTATATTGCACATCAGATGTTATATCCAGACCAGTTAAAGGGTGGTATTAGAAGTGTAGACTTCTAATACTGTGATCGCCATTTAACTGTAATGAAAGACATACGTGTCTAGACCGCTAGAGAACTGTTTACAGCTAATTAAATGAATTACAATTAGTTTAATCTGAAGAGAATTCTGTAAATGTCGTGTGCGGTGTATTTATTTCAATCAATATTATAGACTCTACCCACTGCAAGGTTCCTTAAAATGGTGCCCTAAGTGCTTCGGCACATCCAGACTCGAAAAAAATTAAATACCTATACCCATGGAAGGCCCATTCCAACACTAGTTCCGTGCTAGATTTATACAAAGGTATTCGGGATACAAGCCCTACCTGATGCCCTTTAGCGTCTCTACCTCGTGTTTAGTCGGTGCGCTACCTACGGAACCATAAATTCAATTTTCGATGAGATATAAATATTTCCATAGTATCACATTTGCATTTAATTCAATGTTTTATTTCCAACGGTTTGCTCAAATCAACCAATTAATGTTATAATCATCGGTGTGCCAATATTCGCGCCAGTCACTAGCGACTATTGATGAATGATATGAATTCTCCTTAGTTTTCCGCAAAATTTACATCCTCATAGTTTGAATAATGTACTTGGAAAGAAAGTGGCCTTAAAATTTTGTAGAGTTGTTTTTAATTGTTTGAATGTGGTTTAAACTTTGACTTGTATAATTGTTACGATCTATTACTATCCTCAACATTAATATAGGTGGTATTATAAACATAAATAATAATGTAACGTTACACTGGGTGGCGATTAGGTTATCACATTAATTTACACAGCGGTATATACAAGTTCATATATGTCGATTAAAATAATAAAATAAACAATTCTACCAGAAATAAAAAAATCTTCTTTCAAACAAAATAAATAGCGTAAAAATTGATACGAAATAAATGATCTTGATAATATTAGTTTACTGACCAGAAGTGACATGTAAAAGCGGCAACGGTGCGGCAGGTACGCAGTGTTCACGCGGCATCGGCTTAGGTAATTATTTACCTACATTTTCCCGTTCATAAGTAATGAGGCAAAAAACGAAAAAAAGGGCTATTGTGAGTAGAATGTTAATTGTTATATATATTTTTTAGTTGTGTATGTTCAAACAACTTTATGTAGGATAAGTTTTTTTCATTTAATGTGATAACTTTATCGCCACCCCGTATTTGGTGGCGATTTAACAAGCAAGTGGACTAATTTATAAGAATTCATAAAACAAATTGTCACAGTAGGCATTGCTGCAATATTTGTCCATCTCTACGTTATAGGATTATCCCTTCATTTATTGTCTAGATATATTAAAATAATTTAACAGTTTATTTGTATACCTGTCTGGAGCTTGAGGGCTGATACTATCGGTTCTTAGAGGTGTTCGTGTGTTAACGTGAAGAGGAACTGTGAAATCGTCATCGTCGTCTGCAAAAGCTGTGGTGTCGCTTGTATATCCATCTACGCTGAAATTTCAAAAGATTTTTATTTCCTTCTTTATTTAATTAGGGTTTTTCGTCTGTAGACATGTTAATCCCATAATAAGAAACTTAAAATCTATACACAAGTCATTAATTTAATTAGCCACAACGCAATATGCGAGATGGGGTTATGAAGAATAGAGGTCGGCGTTATTTAACATAATCGGCTTAAGAAACTAGTTACTGGACTGATAATCGTATACGTAGTTTCGAAGAATAGATAGAATGAAGAGTTTCCTTTAACATATATTATTATACTAGAGTAACTAGACTATTGTGCGAGTATCTACTAACACACGTGGAACGTCTCGTTTCAATAGTCGTTCTTTTCCACTACACTCTCAGTAGAGAGAAATATTATTCTGTAACACTATGAGTGAAAATTTATACGAGAATATATTTTTTTAAATATTTTTTTGCATCCAGTTCTAAGACCGGATAAAGTATGAAGAAAACTTTATTCTGGTAAAAAATATACAAATATCATTAACATAAAACACAACATGTTTTTTTAATAATTGTTATATTCGTTTGCAATATTATTTATTTATTACTGGTTATTTTATTATTTCTCTGTACAGAGATAATTAGATATTAAAATAAGCAGATTCGACATTAATTAACTGTACCTCTATCCAAGAAAATACGTTTAATTGATAACGCCCAAAAGTCGTTACGTTCGACCCACGACTAATTTAGAATGCCTAGTGCAATACCGGTATCGTATTATTTTATCTTTCCATGTTATCATCTCATGAATAATTTCTTTGGTTCTTAATTCCGCTCATATTCCAGAATATAAATAATGTAAATCTTCAATTAGTCCACAAGTTCCACATTTATGTTAATCAGTTCTTTTTTCATCAGGTAAGAAAACCATGGAATATCACCTGATTTTATTCTAAATTTTTACGTAATGATATTACTATTTATTTTGTTTGTAAACCATGATATCCGAAGAAAAAATAAAAGGCACCCGCCTCCTCATGGCCTCCGATAGAGCAATATATGTTGAAATCAATTGCACTTCCTCACCGACATTGCGTACATTAGGCTGAATTGATATATTTGGGAAATTATGGTATGGGCTATCAAAACACCTCTAACTTCAGAGGCGCATCGAATCAAATGTTGAAAGCAGTTTTTCTATCCGAGTATTAACAATTTTGTACCAATCATAGCTTGCGGCATACATTAAAGTTCAAATATTGAAAGGGGTTCGTTCAAACGTTACAAAACGTCATTTGTAACAATGATGAATCACATCACAGAATAATGAAATCACAACGTGTTTAATTATTTATATGGATTTATAATATAAAAAACCACTTTTCGAATTTTGTTTAATCTAGTAAAATCAAACTTACCGATGGCTGGCAGACCGGCGCACATGTCGGGAAGACGTAGAATCCCACTCGAGCGGTAATCGAGCCACCCTTTCCCTCGCCTCTTTTCTTTCTCGCAGCTTTTGCTGCTGCCGTTGTAGCCATGTAAGGCCTGAACTTCCTTCATTACTGCTCTCTGATTTTCGTGACTCTCGCCCCCGGGAACTCTCATGCCAACCCAGGGTACTATTTGAACGCCATGTACCATTTTCGGGTATGTTCTTCTGCGACCTGCTTGAGGGCCGTTCTAGCCATTCCGCATCACCGTTCAGCCATCTGAAAACATTTTTTTTCAGTTTCTAATAGTTATGGTTAAGAGTCGGCAATTACATATTAACTTCTATAAATAGAGGTTGTGAGGCATTTCTTAGACCTCAGGGGTGATAACACATCTATAGCTTTCATTGTTTGAAGTTAGCTGCACATGCCCATGGAATGCAGTAGCCACTAAATATCAGATAGACTGTAAGATGGATTGTCACATTAGTTTTAAAAAACCCGCACATGTTCGCAAATTTCATACTACCACGAGCAAACCGTATTCGAACCCCGCCAGCACCAATGCAATTATTCTTTGCAATTTTAAGTGCTGATTTACAACGTGCTCAACGGTGAAGAAAAACATCGGGAGGAAACCCCTTGTTATAACAATTTAGGTTTCGACTGCATTAGATCAACTGTAAGTAATATGTGTAATGCAACACAATAAATCCTACGTCTATCTATCTTTAACCTATTGGAGGTAGGTGAGAGTTCTGGTTCGACAGACGACGTCAGGAAACATGAAAACCTTAATACATCCTAAAATCGGAAGCCAATAACTTAAACAAATATTGATATGGCTTGGAATTCTTACATACTCGTAGGAATCCCGACTCAGTAGACAGACGTACGTTCACAGCTGAACTCAAATACTTTAAGAAGCACATATTATGTAGTTACTTTCCAAAAAGGCATGGCTTGTTTGTAAATTTTTTACTATATTTTAAAGTTGCATTTTTAACAAAAGTTACACAAAATTGATATATAATTATAGTCGTAGTATAAAGATCATACGGTATAATACTATTTACTCAATGTTTCTAGATCGCTACCTTAAAAGGAAGGTAGTAACTGGTAATGCATAATTTCAGTGTTGATACGATAGTGTTTGACGTAATCGTAAGGACTGGCTCCTGTCGAAAATATTTGTAGAGATGTAATTAATATTGTCATCGCTTTAATAACGAATACTGTTTGGAACCTAATATATAAGCTAGTTAGTGTAGAGTCAATACTTTCAAAATTAGCAATTTTAACCTTAACAAACTCGAATCATGAAAATTTCATCGGCATCCTTGCTCGGCTATCCTTTCTACAACTAATTATTTACATTTATTCTCCACCTTTTTCCCTCGTTCTGTAGTCTAAACTTGTATTTGGAACTGTCTTTTGTGTAAATTAAAAAATATATATATTTAATTCGTGGAGTGTAGAGTTTTATTTGCATAGCATCCATCCCATACGCCGTAAAATGTAAAAAAAGTATTTTATTTATTACGACGTACCTAAACCCGTTTAACACATTGCTTGTTGAATTTTTAGCTTTAAAATATAACTTTAATTAATTTTAATTATTAACTATATTTTAACTTTAGTTTCGCTAAAAATTCAGCAGGCAATGTGTTAAACTATGAAGGGAAAATTGGAATCATAGTATTGAGCATGTCATCAAGGAATTAAATAGTAGGCTAAAGCTCCGTTCATTGACTCGTATACACACGAGCGCGCGCTGTTGTTGCCCATAAATCACATTCAATTTCGGATATTTTGAAATAAATATATAAACCTTATTTACGCGTATTTAAAAAAAATGCAAAAAGTGTATATCAGTATTTATATTTTGAACTTAATTATTAAATTTGGCTAGTCTTTAAAAAATAACCCTGTATACTAGTTTTAGCAACCCTAGTGATAAGTTAAGCTTTTCTAACTGAGTACTAAGAGACTGAGATCAGGCCAAATTTTCTTTGTGACCTTAACATAATAATGGTATAAAATGAAAGGTTTCGAAAAACCGATGTCACAAATATTTTACTTCTTGACTGAGCTCACCGAAAGTTTGGTACAATCGGTGTTCTTATTAGAAAGTACATGAGTGGTAGGTTGTTGCGGGCCGGAAAGGCGCCGCAGCGTCGCTTTGGTGCGCCCGCGAACCGTTTATGGCGAAGTTTATCTCGAAATAGCAACTTGTTTGGGTTGCGAAGGACGCAATCACACACCACCCGTAATACCTCATATATTATATGCACAGAGATCGCTTGAAAATATCTACACGGTTTATAGTTCTCTGTTCGAAATGTAGTAAAAAATACGAAGCAATGTCGCCATTGTTTGACAATATATATAATCCCCACTCATTATAATATGGTCCTCCGATAGAGCACGGTATTATTTTATAAAATAAGGGTGACAAATGAGCACACTGTCCACCTGATGGTAAGTGAATGCTGTGGCCCATAGACATCTACATTTATCCTCGATTAAGAGTCAAAATGCAGATGCGTTATCATCAACCCTGAGGACTGAAATGCCACGATCCAGTAAAATGGGTCTCTGGTTCTCTACACTCACCATACGAAACACAGCAGAACTAAGCTTCTATTTTTACTTATTCGGTCTAGCCGAGCCGAACCATTCATGTTACTACCACAACACACAGCAGCAGCGTGGCTCTACTACGTATAATTGGCATATCCAGAGCAGTAGTTTAATTACAAGAGAGCCTGCCTCTTTTTAGTAGCAAACTATTACGGACTAGTACGTAAAAATATGAAGTGGTCATTATATCATTATCAACAGCCTTTTTGAGTACATTTCTGGGCATAGACCTTTCCAAGAATGCGCTACCTGGCAAGAAATATTACTTTTTAGGTAGGTGGGTTGGTGAGCGTAGAGCCGATTCCCTCATAATCCACTAGCCTGTGTAGGGTTTGTGTTTAACATTTTTGAATGAGCATAACGTCATTGATTTCTCAGTCATTATCGCCTATGACTGGCTTTTAAAGAAATTGATATATCTCCCTCCTTCATCAAGACAAAATCAGTCGGATTAGTAAAATGTAGAAATCCAAATAAAAATAAAGTAGTGTTTGAAAGTAAGATAACTTTTTGAAGATATGTATGGAGGAAAAAATAATTCTTTGAGTTTACACGGGCATTAAAACAATAATGATAGAGCTACGCAACCTTGCGATTTCACTAAGAAGAATTAGTAAGATTAGTTTGTAAGCTATGATCATTCAACAGGCGCCGTATAAGTAATTTGCAATAGGCAGTTTATAGTACCACATGTGTGGTGCGTGGTTAATGTCGTGGAACGAGTGGCCCTATATTTCGCCACCGGCCCATGCCTACCGTTCAACTCAATAAACAGAGCTTCTGTTTACAATTAAAAAAATATTATACTTTTTTGACACTTAACACATGTCTTCACGTTCCATTCTAACTCTGTGTTGCCAAATTAATGCATTCACTACACGTGTAAATAAAGCCTTACAGCTTGTGTAAAATGCGTCTATATTACTTATGTTAAGTATTTCTTAATAATAGAAAAAGTACAAGAATCAAACGCAAGTTCAGCTATAAGCGGTGAGGGGCCATAAAAAATTATGGACCGCATTTGCTAATATTTATCGTATTTATTAATGAATAATCGACATTGAAATTGTTCAATTTATTTTTGTGAGGCTTATAGGTTATTACTGTTCGAATATACTTCAATCATTTCTTTAAATAGTTTTTGTGGTTTTGTTTTTATGGTCACATAATTGACACCCACTATTCAACCCACACGTATCAATCAGTTATCAAGCCAAGTAAACAACGTAGCGCTAAGATATAGGTACTACCCATTCTATGTTATTGTCAACATTGACAGTATATTTTAGCTAACGTGTCCGTGCACTGAAGATGCACATAGACGAATACAACATCTGGATATCAGTTACAGACCTATAAAGATAATAAGAGGAGCTCGTAGTTTAATAGCCAGATTGGTCATAGTACATTTTATTACCCTTCTTCATTGACAGTGAAGTGGGTCGAGCGGAACGCGGCTAAATAAATTAACCGTACGACCACAATGTTATGGTCGGGTTTGTTGACCAGGAATTTATTAGACATAATATCGAAACTCTGTGCTAAACAATATAGATATAATGTAATTTACTAACGTTGGATGTGCTATATGTTATACAATTATAAATTTAGAATAGATTATGGTAAATTTTATTAAAATACTATAGATACGTAAATAGGTAGGTAGTTTAAAAATGTAAACAAACCGCTAGGCAGTGGCGTAGGAGGCGCGTGGCCTTCACGCCTTCACTACAGGAACACATGTTTACATCTGTCGCCTAGTTCCCCCTTTTTTGTTTGAATTTAGATTTACCTCTTGCATTGAAATGCAGGCAACAGGACGACTGTTTGACCGTGTGTATATTTCCAAATAGATTTCACTTTTATGTGCGTCTTTCCAAAACAAAAGTAATAAATAGGTATGATGTCTAATTTAGTAATCACACTAAAAACCACATGACTCTACGTGGCTTGTTTTTGCCTTAAATATATTTAAAAGTATTTAATAAGGACTTAAAACTGCTTATATGCATAATAAGTCAATAAAATTCTTTGGCTCTTACTTAAAAAAATATTTTGAAATATTAGGAACAATTTATAGTTTAACGTTTAAAACGTGGAAACCTTTTTTTGGAGTAAAAAAAAAATAAAAGCCGATTTCAAAGAACTAATGACTAATACTAAAACTAATAATTTCTGAAGTTGGTGCTAAGACATAATGTACAGAAAAATTACAGCCACTTTTACTTTTTATGATAAGTTTAATTGGGCTTCTATGAGTACACAAAGGAATATCCACAAACTCAAGATAATAATTAGAATGTCATCTAAACAGCTACATAAATAATCCATCCCCTATTTCTGCACAATCATGGATAATTTTTTTCTCTTTTTCTTTTTAATTTCATTAATTAATCAATTATATATTATATACACGATTGACGAATATATTGCGTAGCCTACGCACAAAAGAAACGTAGAGTCGAATTGAGACCCCACTTTTTTAAAGGCGGATAAAACTATAATATTGCGAAAGTGAAGATTTACACTGACATATTTGAATAAGTGTGGAAACATTTACAGATAGCTTATTTTATGTCGGTCTTTTAAGGACTTACTTTATACAGAAGTCTTACCATGGTACAGTTTGTAATTTAACTAGAAGTATTATGAATAAAAATAACTTACAGACAAACTCAATGGTTGAAACTGTAATTAAAAGAACCCGACTATTTAAAAAAATTTTGAAAGGAGAAAAATTTTATACCCTATGTCACTTCCACAACTAAGATAATCTAAAGACACCCCACAAGTTAAAATCAATTACATACTCTCAAAAACATTACCCTCAAAAGAGAAAAAGAGAAGAAGAAAAAAGTTGTAGAATTTGTCGAGAGAAAAGAAACAGTGATGCTTTGAATTAAACACGGGTTGCTCGTAAAAAAAAAAAGTAGCGTCCAGCTCCTGAGCGATCCCGGCTTTTCGATTTTGTAATTTCTTTTAATATTTAAATATAACAAAATATATATAAATAATATGATATAAAAGTTTATGCATGAGTATAAAAACTAGCATATCAATATAAATAGCTACAATAATAAATTTACTAACCGTCCATTTTGCTGCGGCGAAGTCTGTCGTGGTGTGGTTGAGGTGGTCGTTACGATCTCTTCGTGGGTGAACTTCCGGAGGGTGCGCGGAGAGAGCGGCGTGCGAGGCGAGTGCGGGTCCGGGGTGACGGTGCGTTCGTCGTCGTCGTCTTCGATGGGGTGGTAGGGACGGTCGGGGCCAAGGGCGCGGCGCACCAACTCAGGGCTGGCGAGGCGGTTGGAAGCCCGCAGCATGCCGGGGCGCAGGCCGGGCGCTCCGTAGGTGAATGGCGCGGAATCGGCGCGCGCGTGGTACGGTATGTCCGGCGCGCGCTCGACGTGCGACTGCGGCGCGGGCGGGTCGGGCGGGTCGGGCAGCGCGCTCACCGTGCGCAGCATGTCGCCCAGCAGCGCATCCAGTTCGTCGGGCGGGCTGGGGGCCGCGCGCCTCCCCGCTGATGAGATGCCCGAATCCATGGATGCGCTGAGCGGAGACGAAGGTCCGCCGCTCGCGCGCACCACTGTCGCGTAGATGGAGCCGTCGAGGGGCCCAAACGTATGTGCGGCCTCCGCGCCCTCTCCCGCCTCGCCGCCTGAACCCGAGCCCTCGGCGCTACCGTTGTTATCGGCTACACCATAAAACGATGATTTCATCAAAAACCTCTTTTTGAAATCTATGAACATATACTATTAATTAAACTAGTCGATGGAGACACTATAGAGTACCTAATAAGTTTGCCCCAGTTTCGCGTTTTGATGTAAGTTCTTAAACAACTGTTACGAGTATAGCGTTTATCTATCTTTTAAATTGGATACGACTCGTTTCATTAAACTTACCTCCTATGCGATTGTTAAATTAACGCCTAACCGAATATTGGAACACACAAGACGGGAATCAATTACGAAGGATAACCAAAATATTTTTTTTTAAATACTAGTAATGCTATTAAATATTACTAATATTCCCTTAAAACACTTCTGGTAAACTTTAAATGCTTGTGTTAGAAGTGGTTTACGACAGTAGTCGAATGGCGGATTCGAACCTACGACCTTTCGAGTTCGCGGTCCGCGCCCTGTCATTAGGCTCCTGAGGCTTAACGGTTATCCTTCGTAGACGTATAATTTTAAATATCTACAATACTATTTGCTCATATTTGTAACACCGACTAGGAAATAAACTATAAATATATTCATTAACTGTTTATTCAAAGCATTCAGTAATGCGCTCAATATCAAGTGGACCATGAGCCGTAGTCTGACCACATCCGTAAAAGGGATAAGTTTGCTTCCCGTTACCCGTATCCCGGTCGTCACCGTTGTTTGACGGAATGTGGGAGTCGTCCTTCTTATTCAGTAAATAGCGTAAGCTACGATTCCATTAACTTTGTCGCCATACATAAATTAAGGAACTAAATACATCCCAACTACCATTTTAATTATGATGAATTGTATGAATTGTCACATTGTCCAGTTTGTGTACTGTACAAAATCAAGTTTCCCATGTTGTTTTTATCTTTATATAAGCATCACAATATTTTTACTTCCTAATTTTTCCAGTTGCACAAACTTCTCAGATTGAGGAGAGTATTAGGACTACCAGTGGGACCAATCTAACAGTGGGATTTTAAAATAAATAATAAATTATAGAACTGAACAGAATTTTTTCATAATGTATGTCGTTTGAGAATATGAGCATAATTCAATGTATAGAACTAAATACATAATTTGCGTATGATAGCAATGATATTTATTTGACAATTGTATTCGAAGATTGGTCTTATGTTTTGCACACCATCGTCTTACCTGTATTGGCAAGTCCTATTCGTTTTTTTTTTTTTTAGTTTTTATCCTTTAAACCTTTGTATAATATGTACATATTTCTTGAATGTAAACACTATTTCTCATAAATTGGTAATAGAGAAAAATATTTAATTATTTGTACAATTAATGGTGTCAAGTAAAACATCTATTGATAGATACAGGTGCCTATATAAAATTATTATAAAGCAATCACTACGTCAGTTAGCTGTTTCGAAACAGAACTAAACGAATGGTTGTCAATAATGCAATTAGTGTAAAGGTATCAACGTCAGCGTCTGGTACCCGTCGGGCTCTATTAAGGAAGAACAGTTTATTTCTGTGATGTCAACCAAAATAACGTGACTTGGGTAACGTTGGAGCTACTACTGTTACGAAATGTGTGTGCGCTGCCAACGTCGCAGGAAGAGGATATGCGCTCTGTGACAGCCCTGCCTCTAGACAAATCTAACGCGCCATCTGTTACTAATTGGTGAGAAATAGTTTTTGTAACTTCAAATAAGTAATTTCAAAAGTGATAACTTATGTTATATTATATTTATTAATAGTAATGAAGTTTACTTCTTTCAAGCTAGACTACTTTTTTTATTAAAAATACTAAATGCAAAAGCAGATGCAAATATCACACTATTGCCGAATGTATTACAAAATATATATGTATACGTATGATTCACCTACGTACTAGATAGCAGGACTTCTTTTCTACCACCATCACTCTCTTACCTTTTTATGCCGACAAGTAGCAGTGCCTGCACTAATGTTTTCCGGTCTGAAGTATATAAAGAGCAGGTAAAGTATTTGTATGGCCTACAAATAATTGTTCCGGGTCTGGATCTTTGTCCTTGTGCAATTTGTGTTTGTAAACTGCCTCCACGATTCAGGAGAAAATACTAGTGTGGGGGTAACGTTTTTTAAAAAAAAAATTTACAGGTTGTGCGGCATTCCATCTTGGTCTTTAGAGGTCACAACGCATCTGTAGCCTGTTGTTTGAGGTTGGTTGCAGGTTGCAGGTTGCAGGTGTTCCCACATGAGGCAATCTAGGGAGGCCTTCGTTCTGCAGTGGACTTTTATAGGCTGTAATGGACGGATAGATGGATGATAATCGTTATCATCATCACTTTCTAGCAAAAAAATGCACGTGTGCTCATGGACATCTAACAGTTTGATATTTGTAAAGTATTACTACCGATATCAAAGAACTAAAAACTAAGTTTAAAAACTAAAAAGTATAAAATGTTTTCAATATATTAGCTTCTGAAGTCGTTGCTAAGATATAGTGTATCGAAAAGCCCCGACTTCATAAGCTTTTGTGGAAAAGTTTTCTAGTGGACTAAAGAATATAACTCAAATAAAAATTAACCAGAATGTCGTCAAAATAATTACATTAAAACTTCATTCCCCATTTTTCGAATCTTAGGGTACCCTCTCCCCATAACCTGTATACTTTTTAATAAAAAAAAATCACAAATCAGTTCAGCCGTTTCAGAAAAATCGGTGAACATTGGTGTAGGTAACATAAAAAAACATACGCGTCATGTATAGAGCCTCCACCTTTTTGAACTCCGTTAAAATGTAGAGACGTTAGATATTCATTTGATTACAGTAAAACAGCGATTCAATCATTTTTGAACGTGGTACGAGTAGAGCCACGTTGCAGCTATGTTATGGTTTTAGCATGAATGGGTCGGCTCGATCGGGTTAGGACCACGCTCTCTCATAATACCAATGTAAAATAGCAGCTTAATGCTTCTGCGTTTCGTATGGAGAGTGTAGAGAACTGGAGACCCTTTTTACTGGAAAAGAGGCATTGCATCTTAGTCCTCAAGGGTGACAAATTATCGGCATATTTTAAAGTAGATGTCTATGGACCACATCGTCCACTTACCATCAGGTGGACTGTGTGCTCGTTTGTCACCCTTATTTTATAAAAAAAATCAATTTAATGAAAATAAAAAAGATTTTGAAAATAGACCGCGATGAACAGTAACGTTTCGGAATTAATTTGCGGGAACATCTTTACGTCGAAGACTTGGATGAGAGTTGTTACGATACAATCGCGGACAGATAGTCGGTATGAAGGTGATCGCGTATTCGTGTCGGGACCATGATGTCATCGAGTCGCTCCACCTTGTAATTCTACGAACCTCTAAGCTCCATGTTATTATTACTCAATTTTAATGCTGAATTCATTCGTTAGTTTCAAAATTGCAACCTGTTTTTGGTCTTTTACATTCTTGTCCATATTTAAATTAAGAGCTGGTTTTAGCGCACGTTTAGCTTATTTTAAAACTGATAACTATACGTAGGTGCGTGTGTCGAATAAAAAATAGACTCGGAAAGCAGTTTAGCAAAATAGCATTCTAGGAATGCTTACACAGATTATGTATGATGATAAGAAAAGCTTGAAGTTGTTGTTCGCAGATAAAACTAAAAAGGTGAGGTCCTTATTATAAATAATCTTCATTGGAGGTGATTGATTTAAGAACAATATAGAAATAAACTAAATATATTATATTATACTAAATATATTATAAATATATATTAAAATAATATTAAATACATTTTGTATTTAGTGTAACTATTATAAAATAGGTAATAATCGATATGTATTACCTATATATTGTAACAAGTACTTATTCAATAACATTTCCGATTCCGGACGGCACTTTTATAACACGAAACTTAAAATTAAAAACATCTGGACGGCACTGCGCGTTGTAATCCACACGTGCACTACAAGTGCACTTAAGTTCTTGACTGACGTGAAGCTAAAGCTGTAACTGCTATCAATGTATCAATAAATTATGTAAGTAAGACTTCACCAAAGTGTTATGAGAATGGACTAATTAAATGCGTATTAAGCAACTTTGATTACATTCCGCATTGGAGAGAAAACTATTCGACACTACACGCATTGCTTATTATAATGATTAAAGACGGTTGCCGCAGCCGACCTACTTGTTTATTTTATGCATAATGATTTATTGCATACCTAAATACTACAAATATAATTAAAATATTTTTTACAATTAACTCTACAATGTTTTGGTGTTAATAAAATACGTGAATACTACAAATATAATTAAATTAATTTTCAATTTTTAATAATTAAGTTTTTTAAATGCAATGAAATTGTAACATTAGTTTTATTTAATTTATTTTGTGCAGACACACATAACATCAATGTGAGAAATGAATTACTGATTGTAGCTTAAGGGAGGATCTTATATTATTTTAATGTTTGAGTACATTTTAAATGCATGAATATTCTTTTATTGTACACCACAAAACAAAAGATACAGAAAACAAGGAGCAAGTTAAGTAAAAGGTTTAATTTGGCGGCCTCATCGCCATAATGTAGCGATCTCTCTTCCATAAAGACAACTAATGCTTATACATATCATAAAATACAGTGAACATACTTATATAAATTACTAATAATATATAAAATAATATAATAATTTAGTTTGCTACGACGGTGTGACGGTGGTGAAAAAATGTAGAATAGATCAAAGTAAAATAAAACTATTTATAATATAAATCCATTGTAAATAGTTTTATTTATTTATCGAGTCGTGGTAGCTCAGATGGTTAGCGCTCACTGTAAATTTCACAGTACGCGAGCAACCCGGGTTCGATCCCCGCCGGCAGCAATGAAACTCTTAATTGCAATTTTAAGTGCTGACTTACCACGTGCTCGGCGGTGAAGGAAAACATCGTGAGGAAACCTGCATGTCTGAGAAATAATAGATAAATAATATTTCAAAGACATGTGAAGTTCGCCAACACGCATTGGGGCAGCGCGGCGGACATTTCCTTGCCCTAAAACCCTCTCAAAAAAATGAGAGGAGGCCTGTGCCCAACAGTGGGACGTATATAGGCTGTAACTTTAACTTTATTTAATTTTAATGAACCCATCATTGATAAAAATAAATATATGAACAAAAATAATGTAATGAATGATTTAAGAAGTGAATCAAAAATTTGACCGTAACGTCTTTAGTCACATAAAACTTGACATAAGAAGCGCCGATGGTCTCGGTTCATTCAAATATAGGCGGAGCGTTTCAAATGAAGAAATGAGGCGTAGAGGGCATAGATGTCGACGTCGAGCGCCAGGGACATCTATCAGCGATTTGCCATGGCAGACAATTAGAACCATGGCCCCGGCGGCGCCGACGTTGAACTCATCCAACATTAAGGTTTAATCACCACACGCCTGACCATAACTAATGCTATTGTTAAGAGTGAAAACAAATCAGCGGGACAAACGATTAGACACGCTACGACTTAAAAGAGATCAAGATCGGATAAACATTACTAAATTAAACATAGCAGTATTTTAATCATCTGTAAACAGTTGTTTATTGGATATTGGATTAGAATCACACCGACTTACCAAAATTATTTCTATTATTGTGGTTCACGGTGTGATTTTAAGGTGGTAAAGTTTGCAAGCACACATCCTCGGTACGAGTTAAACTGAATATGCTTTATCGCGTACTGAGTTTATCAGAGAACACCGATAACTTTTTGATTACAATAAAAACACAAAATAGATACGTGATAGCAACGGACGGAGCGGCGGACGCGACTGGGCGGGCGGCGGCCGGGCGGCAATGTCGCTGACTAAAATAGCTTAGCACCTGCAGCGCCGTAGATAAACCACAACCAGCCTAATAACTGCTACTATGTCCACTACTTACACGACGGGCATAATTCTCTTCTTTACTTTTTTATTATTAATAAATTAAACAAACTTAATTAACGTTTTCCTTTGCGTTCATGAACACCGTTGAAGCTTAAATTCAAATAGATACATTTAACATTTATTCATCCTGTTCTTTGTTCAAAAGCAATCCTAGAAATATGGTGACATGTGAATTTGAAGCAATCACATTGTTAACATATTTTGTGATATCAACATTAATTATGTCTTGATCTATATTTCAAATTCAAGATCTAAGATTTAAATATTAAAGGTTTGAGTTTGAAAAACAAACATAATAAGCTTCTTTACATACATCTCGTATGAAACAAAATATGATATATAACTTTTGCGACCATATTTGATTATGGTAAAATGTTTTAACTAAAATATACATTTCTTCTGCAGTTATACTTTTTTAACAAATACGTAGTAGTTACATTTTATATATTATAATCATATACTATATCATATTAACTCTATAATCCATATCAATTCTGCATTTCACATCTTTTTATAAAAATAATCTTTTAAATTCCTACATTTCTGTTATATACTTGTATCTCATTTATCGTCATAATTATACTTTACATCGACATATTAAACGAATAATCATGAATGCTTTAACATTAGTTATTTTTTATTTTATTTTACAAAATAAGGGTGACAAACGAGTACACAGTCCAACCTATATATTTAAATCTCTTTGTGGTAAGTGGATGCTGTAACTCATTGTTCAAGGCTCAATTCTCGGCCCCTTTCTGTTTTTTGTTTACATTAATGACTTACCTTACATAGTAGGGGATAACCATGATATAGTATTATTTGCTGATGACAATTCTTTAATTTTAAATTAAGACGACAATTACTAAAATATGACGAAGTAAATAATGCTATATCTAAATTAGTAAATTGCTTCAATGTTAATAATTTGCATTTAAATAGCACTAAAACGAAATGTATGAAATTTATGACCCCTAATGTCAAACAATTAAATACTATTGTAATTTTAAATGGGGAGAAACTGAGTCTTGTAGATACCACCATTTTTCTTGGAATCACACTAGACGTGAAGTTTCAATGGAGCCCCCATATATCAAAACTAGCAAGCAGACTAAGTTCTGCAGCATATGCTGTAAAAACGATTAGAAATCTTACTAGTGTTGAAACAGCTAGACTAGTTTATTTTAGCTATTTCCATAGCATAATGTCGTATGGTATTTTGCTATGGGGACACGCAGCTGACACTGAAACTATATTTGTTTTACAGAAAAGGACCATAAGAGCAATTTATGATTTTAAGCCTAAAGAGTCGCTGCGATAAAAATTTAAGGAAATTAATATATTAACTTCCTCTCATTTATGAAAATGCAATGTACGTACACAAAAATAAAAGTAGTTTTACAAAAATACTAGGAACTTGAAATCAAAATGCTTAGGATACGTGATACAAACAGGACGTTCATCGCAACATCTTATACAATTACGTAAACTACACGTACATTGACAAAGTAGCTAAATATTACCCACGGATGTAGTATCCATAGTAATGATATGCCAGTATCCAGTAACCACATGTGCAATCGCCATAAGAAGCGCTTTCTTCCTAGCTGTTAACGGAAATAGACTGAAAATTACGGATGTTGGGGCAATAAAGTAGTACTTTGGTTTCTTAGCGTCTCTAAGTAGGGTCTACATGCTACATGGTATGCTTAAGTCGTCTTTTATAGAAAATTACAATATTTTTTTAGAGTTCGGCTATTTTAAATTATAATTCTATTAATAATCAATGATATAATATCATAATATCAATATAATAATCAATAAAATAGAAATTTAAAAAATGAAGGGGCCTGAAATGGCCGCTACAAATGGGCTAGGTGGACCTCTTCCGGATGCGAATTGCATGTTGGGGAACTGCAGTGGGAGGGGTGTCTCGAGAGAAGAGTAGTTGGTGCTTGGTGTTTTGATACGCCCTTCGTCCTATCATCCGCGACTCTTCAGGGATCACACCTCTGATAAAGGTGGAAAGGGGTGGCTTGCATATATGGAGATGGAGGTCGTAGAGGTAACGAATGCATAGAGCATTTAAAAAGCTATTGTAGAGGCGTATAGGTACAAGGTAAAGTTAGTCACAGAATACCAGCGTAAATAGCAGCTTAACACTGCTATGTTTCGTATGGTGAGTGTAGAGAACCGGAGACCCTTTTTACTGGAAAAGAGGCATTCCATCTTAGTCCTCACGGGTGACAACGTATCTACATTTTGATTCTTTATTGAGGATAAATGTAGATGTCTATGGGTCACAGTAACCACTTACCATCAGGTGGACTGTGTGCTCGTTTGTCACCCTATCCTATAAAAAAAAAAAACATAAAATCTAAATCTGCTCGCATATTCTATTGCGTATTACTAGATTATAGCATTTGCACTATATTTGACATGATAAAAGTGATAAATACTACCTAAAATATATGGAAGGTGCGTGCAGTTTTATACAAGACGATCTCTACGTACTTTACTAAATAACGGTACTAGGCGGTAACTTTTCTGCTCAACTCTTACCTTTTTCTGTAGAGCAACAGCAATAGCGTGGCGTAGCTATTTCCAGTTTTCCCTATATAACGAATTACTAAAATAGCAGGCCATAAGGCAATAAGCTTAGTATAGGTGCAGCGTGCCTTACTTTTTTGCTACAGGCGTACATGATCTATTTTCTGGCTGTCCAGAGAATTAGGTGACGACCATCGCATTTTAATGTTCCTTTACGTGTTTAAACTTGTTGACAATACAACAATCGCTCAATATCCGACACAGAACTAACCTAAGACCAATATGATTTAAACAGATCCTTTGAAACAGATAATGCTTATGTGATGTGGTAACATAACTGCTCGGCTCAGGTGCTCGAACAAGCGCGTTGAATGCACTAAACTTGTCTTTATTATATAAGAATGAAAACTGGTGAGGCTCATGGATGTTAAACGTAAAGAGTGGACGCAGGTGACGCGCGGTAGCCATGCTACAGCTTTATATTTGTAGCACGAATGAGTCAGCTTAACAGAGGAAGGACCACTCTTTCACAGAATATCAACGTAAAATAGCAGCTTAATGCCGCTGTGTTTCGTATGGTGAGTGTAGAGAACCGGAGACCCTTTTTACTGGAAAAGAGGCATTCCATCTTAGATTTCAGGGGAGACAACGTATCTGCATATTGATTCTTAATCGAGAATACATGTATATGTTTATGGGCCTCGACATTCACTTACCATCATGTGGACTGTGTGCTCGTATGTCACCCCTATGAAAAAAGGTTGTAGAGTAGGCGCGGCAGCGTGTTAAGTATAGTAAATTTGGCAAAAGATTAACATGTAGTGCACTGACCGGGCTCGTCGTCGGTGAGCGTGGAGAGCGGGCGCAGGTGGTCGAGCGAGTCGGCGCGTGCGAGCGCGTCGGGCGCGGCGCGCAGCGGGGCGGCGGGCGTGGGCGCCGGCGCCGCGCCGCCGCCGCCCTCGCCGCGCGCGAACACCAGCTCCACCGCGCCGTCGCTCGGGAACGACGCATCTAGTAACACAACTCTTATTACAGTTGCTAACCGAGCGACCGAGCTTCACTCGGTGTTAGAAAAAATATTTTTTTAGAGATGACACCTATCTAGATACACTTGGAGAGTTAATCATTATCTAAATAAGGTAAAGTAAAGTTGCAGCCTATTTACGCCCCACTGCTGGGCACAGGCCTCCTCTCATTTCTGAGAGGGTTTTTGGGCAAGGAATTGTACACCGCGCTTCCCTAATGTGTGTTGGTGAACTTCACATGTCTTCGAAATATTTTTTTTCTTATTTCTCAGACATGCAGGTTTCCTCACGATGTTTTCCTTCACCGCCGAGCACGTGGTAAATCAGCACTTAAAATTGCAATTAACAATTTCATTGGTGCCGGCGGGGATAGAACCCGGGTTGCTCGAGTACTGTGAAGCTTACAGCGAGCGCTAACCATCTGAGCCACCACGGCTATTATTATCTAAATACGAAACTTAATTTAATTCTTTATATTACTTGTATTTTTTACCCACTGCTGAACATAGGCCTCCCCTATAGTTTGCCATGCTTGGTTCAGTTTCCCTCTGATGCTTTTTACGACACCTACGGGATAATATGTGGTAGTGGATATTTTTACTCCGCACTTCACTGTACCACCACACCGTTCTATTTATTTATATAATATAATATTATGTAATATATTACTATAACAACTGCTTTCCGAATAAAACTACTTTTGACCAATGAAAACACAAGCAGTCAACTGCATTTGTTAGCAGCCAAAATCAATTTTAGGACAAACTAGCTTTTCCTAGGCTAGACAAGTTTTTCGTAAGCCTGACAGGATCAACTATATTATGTCCGCGGCTTTGAGTTGGATCAATGATTCACCCTAACCACACTTTAGCTTACTGACACTCATAGATGAAAAAGAAGAAAAGAAGTAAGCGGAGAAAAACTAGTTTGCTCTAAAATTGATTGGCAACAAATATTTTGTAAAATATCAAACACCTTTTTTTACTAAATACTCCTGGTCAAAAGTGTAAAATCACTACCATCCTAGGTCAGAAGTGCACGTAACTGATATTTTTTCCTAAAACCTATATTAACCATGTTTGTTTTTCAGACAAAACTACTGTAGATCAGATATACTGTAGATTAGATTACACACGATCACTCCATCGAAGGCAAGCAATACGGTTGGCACATCAGAATATTGTAGTTAATTATATTTTCAGTCAGAAATCAAAAGTTAATTCGGATTCAAATTACGATGGATGGTAAGTACGTAATAATTATATACATATATATATATATATATATATATATATATATATATATATATATATATATATGAAGTCTAACACCTTGAACCGAAAATCATCCGAAAAATTTGCCTTAAATAAATATATTCAATATAACTTACGATTATGAAAAACAAATCAATCTATTAATTATCGCTGTTATTTGAAAAATAATAAAAACTAGAACAAGGATAAGTATTTATGAACTAGAACATGAAAAATAAGGTAAAAATGAAACGCTCAAGAAATATAGGAAACAAGCTTGAAATTTGTTACTCAATGTTCAGAAAATGTTACGATTGGTATTACATAGATGCAATTAGTATTACATTCAGTAATTGATTTAAATAAACGTATGTTGAATTGAACACATCAAGTTTGAATTTTAGTTCAAACAAGAATTATTATATGAGAAATGCTTGAACTTAGATATTGAATACCTTTGCGTATAATAACGATATAAGTAACACTGTATTCGAAGTATGTGAATAAAAACATTACAATGTTAAATTACTTCATTTACGAGTATTGCAAAAGAGATTCATAAATTTTCTACCTCCTTTTAATGTTTGTAATAAACTGCAAACCTTATTGAAATTAATTTATCATCATTATCATTCCATAAAAGTCTACAGCTGGACATAGGCCATCATTAGTTGTAGGTAGAATTTGCAAAATTAAGTAGCGTTGTGTTCTTTAAATGAAATAATGTACATAGCACAGCAGAAATAGAAGTAAGAGGATTACCATGCACAGCGTGATCAAGCTGCTGCTTTGTGAAGGAGAGCGTATGGTCAGCGACGGCGCAGGTGTGAAACTGACAGGCGAACACCAGGTGGCGCTGTGCGGCGGTGGCGTGCGCCGGCCGGCGGTACGCTCGCACCAACACGTCGCCGCGCAGGGACAGGCGCCCAACGCCCACTGTCCACCCGCCGCCGTTCACCATGTACAGGCCTGCTCGATGGGATAACGTTGGTACTATCGAGTATAATATCTTCAAAAGAAATAGGTTGCTTCACATAGTAGACTTATATTACGATGATAATACACTAGTAAAATTCTACTAGGTAATATCGTTGTTAATAATTATCAAAATGATTAAAATGGAAACAAAACTAACAAGTGAATGCAGCTGATCATCATTTGTAAACAAGCGAAAAAACAGCAGTCAACGGGTATAGAATTAAAATAAAGATAGAGAAAATATGAATATAAAAGAGAAAGTATAAATCTTTCCACAAGGTAAATTGGTGTATTATGCAATTATTGTCACTTGGTGAAAATAAGTCATCGTCAGCATTAATAATTGGATAGATACTAGTTTCACATTTCGATTTCTTATGTTTACGAAAATATTATTCATTGAGTGAAATTTATTTTGACGGATTGTATTGTGTTTAGTCGTCTTATTTTAATTTTTTATTTAACGTCTCCCCGGGAAGTTTTTAGTCTATGAAAATGTACAGGAACTCCTTCTTTTATTACATCGGGTTTGATTGACCACAAACATTTGCAAGAGAACACCAATTACAAAAAATGATGACTCGATGACATAATATCAGAAGAGACGATACCTGGGTGCTACCGTCTACTTAGGAATGGGATCCTATAGTTAAAGTTGCAGTCTATATACGTCTCACTCCAGGGCACAGGCCTCCTTTCATTTCCGAGAGGGTTCTATTGGGCAAGGAATTGTCCACCGCAATGCCCGAATACGTGTTGGCGGACTTCACATGTCTTCGAAATATATTTCTTTTGATTTTCAAACATGCTAGTTTCCTCACGATGTGTTCCTTCATGGCTGAACATGTGTTAACCAGCACTTAAAGTTGCAATCAACAATTTCATTGGTGCTGGCGGGAATCTAACCCGAGAAGCTCGAGTACCGTGAAATTTATCGTGAACGCTTAGTTCACAATTTACTAGGTGGTAAGGTTTCATTTTCTGCCTAGACTGCTTTTAGGTAGGTACCACTCTCTTACTTATTTCAGTGGACAAACAGCAGTGCTGGTACTGCTGTGTTCCGAGAGAGACCGTAAAGGGTATAGACAGCCAGCATTAATGCATTCCATGATTCCATCTTAATTTTCAGTTGTGACAACGTATCTGTAGGCTTCTTTGTGTGAAGTTGGTTGCAGGTGCTACATACAATCAGATGGACAGGTAGTTTGTTTATCACTTCAATTTAAAAAGAAAATAGTTTCATTCAATAAGTTCACTCTTTTTAGTTATTTAAAATAATATTAAAACAACTCCTACTGAAAATTTAAACATTTTATTTCTTTAATAAATTAACGGTTTACAGCTGCGAATAATTTTCGAGGATCATGTTTGCGGAGATATATGAATGTAAAGGAGGCGAGAGAGGTGTGTCAGGATCCTTTGGATGACAGGCGTGAGTGTTTATGTTATATGTTGTGTAAAATAATGCATAATACATATGTCAATCTTATAATTAAGTTCCTGTAACAAATGTCCCTCACCCGAGGTGTAGACGCAGACAAGGTTTTCGTATATCTTTAGGAAGGCGATGGTGGGTGCGGCGGGCGCGGCGAGCGAGCCGGCGACGCTCACGTGCGTGAGATGCAGCGGCGCCGCGTTCACGCGGATCTGTCCCGCCAGCAGCCCCGCGAACGTGTCTATGTACCTGGGAGACACATGATACTTACGACACGATACGCAATATTATACTGATCCTTCTCTCATCTCGTAAAGAAGCAGGACGTTCGTCTTAAATAATATAACACACGATCGTCTTCATTTCGGTTTTCGGTGCAGGTGTTACTTGAAATGGTTAATTTTCGTTTTCTTTTTTAATTTACTTAACATGCTCGACAGTAAATATAAATATTGACAGGGCAAGTTTAAGAATATGAAACCGACGAGTTTTTATAGAATATGGGTTGACAAACGCGAGTACGAAATGGTGTTACATTAGATGTGTTGTCACCACTGAGGGTTAAGATGAAATGCTTCGTTTTCAATTAAAAGGATCTCCGGTTTTCTACACTCACCATACAAAATAAAGCAGCATTGAGCTGCTGTTTTAAGCTGCTATTCTGTGAGAGAATGGTCCTTCCCCGGTAGAGCCGACCGATTCGTGGTACAACTATAATATAGCTGCAGCATGGCTCTACAACGTGTGGAATGTGTAATCGAACCTTTCTACTCTTACCAACTCCTTAATAATAAGTAATTTTTAATAGAAGGGTGACTAACGGACACACGCCTATCCGATGATTGGTGAATACTGTAATCTATAAACACCTAAATTTATCATCGATTATGAATCAAAATACAGATGCGTTGTCACCCCGGGGACTGGAGATCAAATGCGTCGTTAGCAGTAAAAAATTCGTCATTCAACATACAAAGTGGAGCAATATTAAGCTGATAATTCACGCTAATATTCTGTGTTCATTCATGCTGCAGACCTGCAGACGTTATACGCTGTAGCGTGGCTCGTGTAAAATGGCAAGTTTACAGTTCACAGGTTGTTACTACTTTAGCAGTAACAAATATTATGTGGATTAATACAAATAATTTAAAATTAAAAATTTTGTTCAACCGACTTCAATATAAATTATTAAAAATAACTCAAAAGCTATTGGTTAGACCTTGATCAAATTATATATGGGACCACAAGTGAAGCACCAGCTTTCAAATAAAAAAAGAATCATCGAAATCACATACAGTCGAATTGAGTACCGTCTCCTTTTTGAAGTCGGGAGAAAAATAAACTAGTATGGAAATGATTTGTGTGACAATGACAATTTACCTCTTATTAGAGGGCAGATGAAAGACAGGCACGCGGTCGTCGAGGTAGCGGCGCATCGCGTAGCGGTCGAGTGCGTGCTCGGGCGCGCCGCATATCGCCGAGTAGTGCATGTACGCCGCCACCAGCACGCCCAGCCGCTCGCGTTCACCCCTGCAAAATTATTTATTTCATAATTTCTATACAATTCGCACGTAAATATTATATTTTTCTTCTTGGGTATTAAAGACATATATATATCGAAGTACTGAAGTGTTTGTACAGTAGGGCTACGATGGCTATCTGAGTACAGAACCAGAGTACGAAACCTATCCAACTGCAGAGAGATGTAAGACAGGGTGCCCTTATATCCCCGAAACTCTTCACCGCTGCAGTAGAAGACGTTTTCAAGCTACTGGACTGGAAAGGATACAGTATTAACATCAACGGCGAGTACATCACTCACCTTCGATTTGCCGACGATATAGTCCTTATGGCAGGATCGTTGGAGGGCTTAAGCACTATGCTCAATGACCTCAACAGTGCCTCCCAAAGGATAGGTCTTAAGATGAACATGGACAAAACAAAGATCATGTATAACGTCCATGTCACACCTATGCCGGTAATTGTTGAATGAGGTCAATCGACGGATTCAGCTCGGCCGGGCAGCGTTCGGGAAATTATGGCCCATCTTTTCTTCAGGTATACCTCAAAACTTGATAACGAGACCGTACAACCAGTGTGTGTTGCCAGTGCTTATGGAATTGAGACGTGGTCCTTCATTCAGTCAATCAGCGAGCTATAGAGAGGGCTATGCTCGGGGTTTCTTTGCATGATAAACTTAGAAATGAGGATATCAGCAGTAGAACCAGAGTGACCGACATAGCCCAACGGATTAGTTAGCTGAAGTGGCAATGGGCCGGCCATATAGCTCGAAGAACCGACAACCCATGGGATTAAAAAGGTTCTCGAGTAGCAGCCTCGTACCGGCGGAAGAAGTGGAGCAACATTAAGCTGCGTCCCTCCACTAGATGGAGAGACGACCTGGTAAGACATGAAGACGATGGATGCAGGTGGCTCAGGGCTGTACTTTGTGGCTGTCTGTGGGGGAGGCCTATATTCAGCAGTGGAAATGCGAAAGGCTGTAATGATGGTTATGATGAATAGAATTCATATCTGTACGTGAATACTTAGTAGAGTGTAAACTTGTTACGTAAAAATACAAATAGTCAGGTCATCCAATATACGAGTAAGTTAATGAGTATTTTTTGTATAAATAGAAGTTTCCATAAACGTACAAATATAATAAATATTTTCTCACCAACATGGTCAAACTCGTGTTACTACTCTTCTGAAGTAGAAGAAGGAAACCTTTTGACGATACGGTGTGTACTGTGTTTACCTGACACGTACGTCAGGTAAATAGTGAGTAGCTTGGTCACAACACCGCTCACAGTTATTTGGCGTTCGAACTCCGAACTTACCGTGGGAATAACTTCACTCTCACTAATATTTGTCCAGTCCTACCGGTATTTACGATAATAGAATAGAATAGAATAATTTTTTATTCAATATTGATTATTACATAATACTTATTGAAAGTCATTTTTTATTTACCACTGGTTCGGAAAACACCCCAGTCCTGGGAAGAACCAGCAAGAAACCCAGCGGGACTTTTTTTCAAACATATTTCACATAACAATTACTTCGTTTATACAATTTTTAAATGATTTTTCATAGAACCAGCATGGTGGCGATCACCTTAATCCCAGGGATTATTTTCATTCATGTATTCCTAGATATTATAATAACGCTTTTTGTACAGTTTTTCTTTAATAAAACTTTTAAACCTGTTTATTGACAAACTTTCAATATGCTCTGGGATTTTGTTGTAAAAGCGTATACATTGCCCCATAAATGAATTACTGATTCTGTGGAGTCTAGTAACTGGCATTACAAGCTTATGTTTGTTCCTAGTGTTTAAATTATGCACATCCTTATTCTTATTAAAGCTATTTATGTTTTTATGCACATACATTACATTCTCATAAATATATTGCGATGCCAAAGTTAATATCTTTATTTCTTTATTCTTTCTTTTATTTTCTTTATTCTATATTTAATTTTTCTCTGAGGGACTCTTTACAATTTAGGTTATAAATCGCCCGTACGGCTCTCTTTTGCAAAACAAATATAGCTTCAATATCAGTCGCATTACCCCATAGCAAAATTCCATAAGACATTAAGCTATGAAAGTAACTAAAATACACTAATCTAGCTGTCTCAACATCTGTGAGACTTCTAATCTTTCTTACAGCATATGTTGCAGAACTAAGTCTGCTTGCTAATTTAGATATATGGGTCCCCATTGAAGTTTCGCGTCAATAGTAATACCGAGAAAAACAGTGGTATCCACAAGACTCAACTCCTCCCCATTTAACAGCACATTGGTATTCGAATGTTTTACATTAGGTATTGTAAATTTAATACACTTTGTCTTATTGCCGTTTAAAAGCATATTGTTGGCGTTAAAGCAATGTACCAATTTCGATAGAGCATTATTTACATCGCCATAATAAATTGAAAATTAAAGAGGTATCGTCAGCAAATAATACTACATCGTGATTGTCCCCTACAAGGTAAGGTAAGTCATTAATATAGATTAAGAACAGGAATGGGCCAAGAATTAATTTCTATATATTTTATTTTAATTAATATTATATTATTTTTATATAATAATTATATTATAATTACTATACATATATTAAGTAAATAAATATTAATTCTAAAAGTATGTGTGATAGCTACAGCACGGCTGCTTTTAAAAAGAACCTCTCTATAACAAAAAAAATTATTCAAACTTCAATTCATAGCCAGTTATTAAGAAACCTCTTTTTCATCACATATAGCAAAAAATAAAGAGAAGGTTTACTGCAATACAAAAAAACCTTTTCCTTCCGCGATCTTAACTTCGTACCTATTATGTAATAGGTACACTATTAATGCGCGAAAATTTTACATATTATAATTAATAGTATAGAGTTTCACATTATACATTTATAATGTTTAATTATTTTAGTTATCTAACAGCACAATTTTGGTTTACCAGATCAACAATATGGCTGTTTTGTTAGGGTGCTCAGCAAGCGAGTTTTCCCGCAAATTCACATATTTTTGGAACGAAGTTCCTTATCGGACAGTACGAATTTGACGGATGGGACTAGGCGAGAAAAAGTGTAAGATATTTCCGTCACGACCCCTTCTGACGTATTGTTGACGGCCTTGGCGGCTATAAGGAAGCGAGTTGGAATAATATCCATCTCTCTCGCACCTTTTCTTATTGCCATGAAAGAAATATTATTTTAAATGACGCTTCATTTTAATAGACGCTAGTAATTCATTTATTTGTATTTCTTAATCAATAATATATTACGTTTATCAATAATAATAAAATGCGAAAGGAACTTCGTTCCAACCGAGTGTTCCACGACACTCAGCATGTTTTTTTTTCATGTTGAAAATAATGGATTACCGTAACGTAATCCATTATTTTCAACATGAAAAAAAAAACAACGGATTTCTTAAACTAACATTGAAAGAAATGCTTACCAGGCCAGTAGTATGGCGACGTTCTTCGGATGCGCTGCAAGCCAGCTCTCAATTTGCTTGCATGCGGCACAGAGGCGCTCGAGTGGCGGCGCCAGTTCGCCCGGCCAGCCCAAGGTCCGGGCGCGTCCGAACACGTTACACGCTGTTCGACCCTCCTCGCACTCACTACCGTTCGCCTCACCGCTGCTCACTTCGAATACCTGAAACAAATAATAATTATTTATATAATGAATTTATAATATTTAACCGCCTATAATGCCTCAAACTAGAAAATCCTATATTCAGCAGCGGATTTGTAGTAGTTTGCTCATGATATTTGCGTTGTTTATTTAAATTTTAAAGGATAAATAAAAAAATCCAACTAAACAACGTTGCCCAGCTTATCAAAACATTGATTCTTTCTTCTTTCGCCGTACACACGAAACCCCTGCATCCTACCCTTCTTAAAATGTTTTGGAGGGCTTCATCATGTGGGATTGTAGTCTGGCTGGCTGACTGGCACTGGCTTATAATAAGTAAAAAAGAAGCAGACAAAAATCTACTGCGCTGCTCCAGTCCATATCGATGTAATAATTATCACTAATAGCATTCCAACAGGTCACCAGGTCTACACCTCTAGACCTGGTGACCTGTTGTAATACAGTATTATACCTACCATAGCACCTGCGATCCACAGCCAAAGTTGTTATATTATGTTATGTTATATTAGCTGTTACTCTTTATTCTAAATGTAACTTTGTTTGTGGTAAGAAAATAAACGTCATTATTATTATTAATTAATAGGCCTTTGAAATAAATAAACATAAAATTTCCCAAAGAAATTTCCTCAGACATATCGGTTTACTTACGATGTTTTCCATTAACCGCCGAGTACGTAATGAATAGGCATGTAAATATTTTATATCTGCGATGTCGGTGGAGTTCAATCTCCACTCTTACTGGGGTTGCATGAGTAGTGATGATATTAGACGCCCAGCTCCTGCTCTACCACGGCTGAATTTGAATTTATTTTATAGTATTAAATGATACATCAGATACGGGAAGATGAATAGACCTATGTGAGTTGTGTTTGTGCTTCTGTTATCAATTGGTAAACTCTTAAGACAAAATAAAATTTTTTTTGCGTTACACCGCCTTATGTTATATTTCATGTATGAATACGTGGCAAAAATAACGTATACTGAAAAAGATAATAAGTCACATGATACATTACCATGAAATGTTCTCCATGCTTGTTAGTCAGCATATGGGCGGCCTGGGCTTCTGCGTGTTCATCTCTGTACGGTAGGTGCAGAGCAAGCATACGCTCCGCCACATAGCAAAGATCCAGGCGTCCCGCACCGCTGGACCCGCCCGAGCCGCCGGGATAGCTCGCTGACCGCGTACCGCCCTGTTGACAAGATATAGAAATTAAAATATGTAATAATCATCATGTCGCCTTTTTTGATCGCCCCGTCAGTCACGAAATGTTATAAATATATTATTTTTATTCGTACAAAAAACACAATATTTTAATTATGCAGGTTTTATTAAGCGAGTAAAATAGGGAATGAAAGATTGCTTGAAATCCAGCCATGTTTTAATTAAGTATGTATATCTTTGGGGTTGTTATAAAATAATTTGCTTAATTCCGTGTAAAGCAAAAAAATATTATGTGTCCTGCCCAGTTTTAAGGGGACCTCCCACACTCCCTCAATCGCGTGCACTATATCCGTCGCCGTCAATGCCAGCACTACCATCCCCAGCACCACTACACTAGGCACGACACACCACTCTCGAAAATACGACACGTGTTTCGCCTCTACACGAGGCATCCTCAGGTGAAGTAGACTGCGGAGGCTGGCCGCTAGTTTTTCTTCTTTACGTCGAATTAAGCAAATTAGTCTATAACAACCCCATTATAATAGATTTCCGCAAAGTAACGCCTGATTCTATTAATTATGTATATCTTTATTAACACTATAGTTTAACGATTTTTGGAAACTCCATTCTTAAGGGTAAAAATATGGGATTCAGCTATTATAAAATTGTAAACTATTTTAATCAGTATATTCTTTATCGTACATCAATACACATTAAAACAAAAACAAAATGAAATAAATAATGAAGGAACAATAGGCGGCCTTATCGATTTAAGTAAAGGATTTTTTAAGACATCTTTTTACGCCAAAAAGTTGTTGTTTTTAAATGTCTAGAAGGAAGGTGTACATAAATTCTACAATTGATTAAAAGAAAAATAGAAACACAGAAAGTAGGATAAATACAAGAAATGACGGGAAGTATGATGGGAAATATAGTTATAGTTCCAAGTAATAAGCTTTTCACGTCGAATATGTAGAGGCAAGGAGTTCCAAGAGACAGGTGACTGTAATAGAGTGCGAAGAGAAAGATTGTTACTAGTAGAGTGGTTCCTACTACGAGTATTCGAAAAGCCTTAGTCTCAAATCTGTGATCATTACCATTTGGAATCAATATGAAAAAGTTTTCTTGTTAAGCTATCACAGTTCTCCGTATTACACAATCTCATAAAAAGCGTGGGTGACTCATGACTGTCTGGACGTACAACGTGGACGCAGGTAACACCGCGGGGCGAAAAGCTAGTTATCCCTATGACTACCCAAGATTCCTAAGATCTTCCTAATATACCCAATAAAATATTTAATTTATCATTATATCATATCGTTTTCAGCTCGTGTTCAAGACTACTTTAAAAGACATGGACCTCTGACAAATGTTGATGCAAGAGGATTTTTTGGAAACGTGACGTACGCTTGCACTTCAGCCGATCTAGCACTCACATCATCAGATGCCTTCTTCCCATGATACTACCCTATATCATCGATCTACGATCAAATTCTAAGAGCTCAAATATAGGCCCAAACAAGTCATAGGTATAATTTTAATTCATTATAAAGGTAATTTGTGCCAATGGTTATTTAATCAACCTGTTACACACGATTATCATAAAAACACGGGTAGGTAATAAGGTAATAGGCTCAAATACATCATAGAGAGAAAAAAATAACTAAAAATGGTTGGGACTTAGTACATTTATGTCAGATCAAATATGTAATTTCGTAGGCGACGTGACATGATTCTGTGAGTGTGACAGCGGAGGTACGTAGTGCGTAGGTGTAGAGAAAACGCAAGCGAGGCTCTGCTGGCTGATTACACTAACACAAACAACGAAAGCAGAACTTTTAAGCCTTTTGAAGCATTTTTAAATTAATATAATGCTAAAACACGCTAAGACTATACAAACAGAACTAAAGTAACGTCGCAAAGTCACCTAGCATATCCAGTACTGGCTATAGTCAAATGTTTACGATAAAAAATCTCACAAATAAAGGATATTGAGTAGGTATTAGAATTTTAATTCGATGATATAAAGATAATTAAAGTCGATGTCATTTTTTTAAATATTGCATTAACAGCATTATTATTGTTTCAACTATTACATCACTTATTATTTAAAAGCTTTTAGAAAAATTTACTTCGCAAATATCTGCGTTATTAAATAAAATGATGTGTCTTACCTAGTGTGAAGAGCACCTCCCGCCCTCCCTCTATTGCGTGCACTATCCCCGTCACCACTAATCCCAGCACCGCCACTCCCAACACCACTACACTAGGCAAGGCACACCACTGATGACAATACGACACGTGTTTCGCCTCTACACGAGGCATTCTCAGGAGATATAGACTCTACGGTGGCTAACCGCTAAGTACTCCACACGGGATAGTGCACGCAATTGAGGGAGGGCGGGACGTGCTCTTCACACTAGGTAAGACACATCATTTTGTTTTATAACGCGGATATTTGCGGAAGTAATTTTTCTAAAAGCTTTCATATAATGGATTTCCGCAAAGTAACGCCTGATTCTATTAATCACTTATTATTTCTTAATATATATCATATTTGAAATAACCTTGCAAAAACAATTTGCATTTATTGATTTTTGGAATATGCTCCTTATCCCCCAGATAATTCGTTTATAGGCCCCAATATTTATACGGCATGAAAAATATTAATATTACGTACATGATCCCTGGTATAAATAGGAGTACCAGGAGTGGCAGGCGCGCTCAGTGCTCGAGTCTGAAACAATAAAATAATAACTCTTCACAGTATTATTTGTGAACTATGTGTAGATACAATATGTAGTAACAATCGTGAGTGCTGGTGTTATACTTGCTATAAACATTGGAATGTAAGGTCAGTTGCGCCCATAAAACAAAACCAAGACTAATGTTCTTAAGGCTTCTGTTTCAAAGTCAGTGTCATTAACGGCCATGTATAATTCAGTAAATTTCTTAAATCTAAAAATGTGAAAATTGTACTTAAAAATATAAAGTATTAAGGTGATTATATAATTAGAAATAAATAACTAATATAAACTCTATAATATGTTGATGATTTATTTCATATATCGTTAATCCTTCCATCCATTACAGCCTATAAAATTCTACTACTGAACATAGGCCTCCCCCATAGATTGTGTCATAGGGCGTTTTGCCGTAGTTGCCACGTTTGGCAGGGCGGAAAGACTGTGCTGCTCATCTCCTATGTCATTTCCCTTCGTCGCCTCTTACGAGAACGATAAGAAGATATGGAGTAGTGGATATTCTCATACCGCCACTATATGACTTTATCATTAATGTAGTGTTAATGAATTATCTGATATCAATAATCAATTATCTGATATCCTGGACAATAATTTAATATCTAATACAGTAAAGCTTTGTTAAGTGGGACCTGGATAAGTGAGAAACCTCCCTAACTCGAACTCAAGCTTAGGTGCTGACACTTTAGCACGGAATTAACTCTGTTAGTGTGACAAAACAAACCTCCATATCTGGGATTAGTTCTTTCGATTTTATCGTCATTGTTACCTCTATAATTGATACAGCGAGTGTATTTTACATCTTTTACTAAGACTATATTTTGTGTACCGTTTTGTTTACTAATTCTTATTCTACCCGTTAATTCCGCACCTGGCTAATTAAATTAAACTCATGTGTAATGTTTACAAAATACGTTATTTTCTTCTCTATAACTGAAATAACCTCTATTCTCACCTATATTAATGTAACCCTCTGTAAATGAGATAAATATTTATTTATACCTGGATATCCAGGTTTCACTGTGTTAACATGTGGCGGCGTTAGAGTGATTGCATCGCTATTTTGACCCGTGGTTGATTATGGGGTATTTCAAAAAGATCAATACGTACTAAAAAAGACGCCAAGACTTGGTCGTTTATAACAGGCGTTAGAGCCCACGGGCTCAAATTTTCTTAGTCTGTGTCTTAAAAAGGTACTCTGTGCTTCCGACCGCGCACAGGATTTGTTCGCGGTGTATTTTCTAGTACGAAGTACATATTACTTTAATGTCAATACATGCAAAATATTGCAATTACGGTAAACCCATTATACAACAAGTTACTGTACTGATAAAGAAGATGGGAAAGACTAATACAACTCATTTTAAACTCCGACCGTTCTTACGATATGAAGAATTTGAATTCAGCAGGCTGGGTGGCTAGCAAATTGGTAATCGTGCTTAAAGCAATACAATGACAAACACTCTAGCACTGGTCTGGTTTACTACCACTTATAAGATCCTACTTACATTTTCGTAGTCGATTTTTATGAAACTCATGGGACGATATTTTGGATTTTGCTAAGATTGACCATAGAGGTTGAACAACTTTGTTTATATATTCTATATATTCAAGTTCATTGCGTTTGTATTGCGAAATGTTGTTATTAAATTAATAATTGTTACCGATAGAAAACATTTCACAGCAATTTGTTTATTGTAGCTATTATAAGTCTCCTTCATCGTAAAGTACCGTTTGCACCTATCGCGATCGGATGTTGGGATAGAGCTCAATAACGTTGATAAATGAGCCCCTTAAGCAGGGTGCGGCTTAAGTGATTACTGCAGCTTTTGCTGGGACATAAGCTGTTTTAATCGCCGTTAGCAGCATTTACAAAAGTTTTGAAGGACAGCACTCATATGCTACCAATCAGCCGGGCTTAAACGCAAAATCAATTTAAGGCGGTTACAAAAAATTATTTACTTATACGCTTAGACATGGTAAGACGTGTAGGAAGTCTATAGTATCAGGTAGTTATTTTTTTAATTTTTGGGGGAGGTTTGCTTTATCAATGGACTTATAATGCGTTTAAATATTGATGAATGAATTAATGAACGATTTATTCGTCACACACAACATACAAAACAATTAAACAACAAAGAAAACAAAATAAAACCATACATATACACAAATCTAATTAATAATATCCTCATGACCGAATTTCGGTTGCGGCGACCAGCCTCAACGAAGACTAGTCATCGGTGCAGAACAGGAATATAGTGCCCAAGTGTATGCTAAGCATAGCTGTGTATTCACTCTCATAGTCCGATGGGACGGTAAACTGACACGACCGGAGAGAGATCAGGCGCAGGACTAACGGCTTCACATGCTTTCCGAGGCACGGGGGTGAGACACTGCCAATTTCTTGACTCCGGGCAGCTATATTTAATAATACGTGAAGAGAAACGTTTGTACCCCTTTTAAAACACATTGCGCGCACGGAGGCGTGTGAGATTTAGCATAGTTAAAAATTTTATGGAACACGAGTGCATAAAGCTACCATTTTATGTGTTACAAATATATTAAATTAAATAACATTAAACATTAATTTTTTGCGTTCATAATGCGAATTCCAAACACTTAATAGTCTGTGGTTAAGCAGTCGCACAGAGTAGAGATTGTCACCAAAGAGTTTTAAAATGCTGCGATCAAATTATTATTGACAGATTGACTCAATTAGCTATGCTGCTGTGAATTTTGTGTGATTTAAAATGTTCCTTTATTCAATAGTGTGTGAAGTGTATGTCAAGACGAAAAAGCATTTATTTAAAATTTTCAAATTTAATGTTATATATTATTTCAAAATTTTATGAATTAGGGTCAAATTTCGACCACCCGGCAACCATTTGCATATTATAACAGTGAGATTAAGGAGTTGTGTAATAAAATAATAAGTCTTCAAATTAATGGGCAAAAACCTTCTGAAGTTTTTTTAAAAAAAAAACGTTGTTTCCTCTTTAAAACAAGACCACCGCACGTCGGCTCGCCGCTGGCGTAATGTCACCATGCATGACAAAATTGAAGAGCTTCTGAAGAATATTCATTGTCAATTTTCCACGTACTTTCAGAAACTCCGTTATAATTACATATATGCTTAACCAGTTTTAAGGTGTCAGAGAGCCATTTTAATCTCGCTGTGACTTATGTCCGGAATAGTGTCGTATGAGACTTATTCTTGGGTCGTAACCCACACTTGTGTGTGACTCCAATGACGTTGTGCACTGCTGATAAGTGATAAAAATATATCAGAGGGTTGTACAAACCCAGGTAGACTGCTATGCATAAAAGGTGCTTTTACACTTAGTAGTCTCATACTTTTCTGCCGACTTTCAAAAAGGAGACGGTACTCAATTCGACTGTATGAACCGATTTCGATGATTCTTTTTTATATAAAAGCTGATACTTCTCGTGTGGTCCCATATGAATTTGATCAAGGTCACACCAATAGTTTTTGAGTTATTCTTAAATAACTTATATTGAAGTCGGCTGTACAAAATTTTTAATTTTAAATTATGTTATTAATTGCGCAGTCGGGTAGAAACTGTAATTTAATAAATTATTTTGAAAATTTAATCATATCCTAAATGACATCTACTGGTTCGAAACTAAATATATGTAGCACCTACTTGTACACACAAAAAATTGTAACTTTTGGTGATACGTTTGTTTTTATTCTCTCTTTAGATATAATAATAAATTATATAACCTAATATCTAACTAATCACTATCAATTTGACTTTTAGTTTAAAGCAAATAAACAACGAGTGCAGACCTATCATATTTGTAAAAGAGAACACATTTATTATGATTGTTATTTGCTATACTACAAAAGTGTACGACGTCTGACGTCAGCCGAACACAAAGCGTAGCAATCGTCTGAAATTGGCATAATCCAATTATGCTTCCAATCCGACGATCTGGCCGTCGAGAATGCAACCGCGCCACTCACACTTGTTATTTTTATACGGCGCACTAATCACCGCCCTCTGACTTACACCAACTATTCACTCGAGTTACTTTATAAACAGGAACATGGATTTATTCCCAATCAACAGATGCACTGATTTAGACCATGTTTGTGTTACGTATTTTCTGTTATAATATTATCACGTGCAACGAAAATTACTAGGTACTGTAAGTAAAATAAATAGATAAGTCAATTTCTTCAGTCAGTTCTTTTAAATTAATCCTACTTATTACGCTTACATATCAGTTTTACAATTTTTTCTTACAATAAAAATTAAGTAGATATTATTATAAACATTACAATAAAAAGAGGTTAATATAACTATCCCAAACATGCATCATGAAAATCTCGATTTAATGAAATTTATTTAGAGATTTTGAAGTGCACGTAGTTTTTCTTAGTTACAAAATTAGTGTAGAGTTCTAGGTGCTCTCCTTTTCTACCTCGGAGTCGATATGTGTTGGTAACATCGTTTTAACTATTTCTGTCTTCAAGTAGTAGTGTCCAGTTATGATTTTTTAAAGAAATGTATAGATTGCAAATTATTTATAACAACAAAATTTTTAACGTGGTAGAGCCATGCCGCAGCTATATTAGTAGTATAGGTGTAGCACGAATGGGTCGGCTCGACCGGGGAAGGACCAGGCTCTCACAGAATACCAGCGTAAAATAGCAGCTTAACACTGCTGTGTTTCGTATGGTGAGTGTAGAAAACCGGAGACCCTTTTTACTGGAAAAGAGGCATTCCATCTTAGCCCTCACGGGTGACAACGCATCTGCATTTTGATTCGCAAACGAGGATAAATGTAGATGTCTATGGGCCACAGCAACCACTTACACTTACGTGGATTGTGTGCTCGTTTGTCATCCTATCCTATAAAAAAAAGTTATGAGCAATATACCTATACCTAATTGAGGAACGAGTATATAAATTAACAATTGTATTTAATATATGTATCTATTACAAAT